GCCGAAGGCTCAAGTGAGCTTTTCTGGCCAAAATTTGTCCGTTGTCTGTCGTCGTCGTTGTCGTCGGCGTCGTCATCATAAACTTTTCACATTTTCATCTTCTTCTCAAGAACCACTGGGCCAATTTCAACCAAACTTGCCACAAAGTATCCTTAGATGAAGGGAATTCAAGTTTCTTCAAATGAAGGGCCACGCCCTCTTCCAAGGGGAGATAATTATGAAAAAGTGAAAAATTAATGGCATTTTAGAACAATCTTCTCCTCACAAACCACTGGGCCAGGAAAGATGAAACTCATGTGGAAGCATCCTCAGGTAGAGTAGATTCAAGTTTGTTCAGATCATGACCCCGGGGGTAGGATGGGGCCACAATGGCCGATCAAAATTTTACAGAGGAATATATAGGAATTCCGAAACATGTTTTAAAATCTTTTTCTCAAATATTTCAAAGCCATGATTAGTGATATTTATATGGAATATCCTCAGGTAGTGTAGATTCTAGTTTGTTCAAATCATAACCCCCAGGGATAGGGTGGGACCACACAATGGGGGATTCAAGTTTTACATTAAAATATATTTTTAAAAAATCTTCTTCTCAACAATAGCAAAGCCATGAGTAGTGATACTAGTATTTATATGGAAGCATTTTCAGGTAGTGTAGAATTAAATTTGTTCAAATCATAACCCCCAAGGGTAGGGTGGGGCCACTAGGGTGGATCAAAGATTTACATAGTAAAATAAAGGGGAAATCCCAAGAACAGAAAAGCTATGTGTAGTCATATTGACATGCAAGCATCCTCATGTATGGAGGATTTAAATTTGTTCCAAATCATGGCCCATTGGAGTAGGGAGGGATACAATTGGGAAACAAATTTAGATTATTACGAAGTAATATATAGAAAGAAAATGTTTAAAAAAAATCTTCAAAGTCATATGCTGTATTAATATGATGGCATTCTCAAGTAGTATCAAAATTCAAGCCCCCCCCCCCCCCCTTCAGTAAACTTTTCAGCTCTGATCTGATTCCGATTAGCTCAGGTGAGCGATGTGGCCCCTGGGCCTATTGTTTTTACTGTTATGTTTTAACAGAAACGAACATTAGTAATTACATGTATATGTGATATGGATTCATCAATTTTCGAGGAAATCAAATTTCTTAAATTTGACCAAAATAAGAATTTTGTTGATAATTAAGTACATGCTCGGATAACTTCACGGGTGGTTGTCTGATCATTTAAAATAAAATATTCAACTTCATTGATCACCTTTTATCGGTGCCTTGCTCAACCTAAACTTACTTAGACATTTAAAAATGAAGTAGTTTACTATTTAAAAAAATGATGCATACTCTTATTTAAAACAGGAATTATTTTGATTCAAGGAAAATCAGAGACCAAAGGACAATGACAATTTACTCATTTCTGATGAAATTTCATTAAATTCTCTTAGATGGGGAATCAGAACACAAGTGTGTCCATCTGAGATTTTCATGCACATCTTTTACTTGATAAGAATGCTTGAAGTAAATAAATTTGGTAGATAGGAAATGTTCCGCTTCTTTTTTTTTTTTTTTACTGAAACCAAATTGATGCGACTTACTAGTATAATTGCCTAATTAAAAAAGAAAGTATGAGAAAAATTGGATCTTGATAAATATTTTAAACTTCCATTAACTTTTTTGTGTTATATTACTTGAAATCAATTCTCATTTGAAACAGAAATGACATGTTTTTGATCACTGGTATCCTATTGCATTGTTCAAAGAGAACCCACAAAGGGGGTGGGGTTAAGTGGTCTTGTTCCATATTTCCTTTCTTCAATGGTCTTTAAAACAAGAGACAGTATGTCAACTGAATATTTAGTTAACTTATGACTTTTGCAATTTCAGTTAATCCATAGATTTCTTTAAAAAGTTTTTCGTTCGGGAAAATAGCTGCATATATACAACGATTCTTATAATGTTTTTAGGAATCCAGCAGGTTTTGAAGTTAGCAAATACAACAGCATTCCGATCAATTGGTGCGTCACCATCAGACCCGTATGAAGACTATTATCCCCGAGGAGTACTGGGTCTGTAGAATCAGACACTATATTATTGGGTTCTACCATCAAACATCAACTTGCAGAATGGGAGCAGTTGATGATAAAACAGCTGTTGTTGATCCACAACTGAGGTTTGCAATTTGATATATATTATTTTTTTCTAAAAAGCTGATTAATTTTGCTTTGAAGGTTTCAGTTTCATAAGCTGGCAGTTTGATGTCAAATACATGTAAATTGTCTAAAAAGTTGAGATTTTAGCGGATTCGGGAAATGAAAAGATTATTTCAAAAATTGCCTAAAAAATTCTGAGCCTCTTGTTTGTTCTTGAGAGTTATTTGTTCTTAGATGAAACAAAAATTTGTTTGCTTGGCTTTGGTTTTCAATCAAAGTCATAACTTAACAGTTAATATTTACACAGTAAAGAGTAAACAGAATTTCCGCGTTTGTTTCAGGAAATGAAAAGATTATTTTAGAATTACCTAAAAATATTTTGTAAAAAAAAAAATGTTTGGATATATACAGAATTCAATTTTATGTCATACATAAGATTATAGGTATTCACTTTTTAATTTAAAAGGCTATGTCTTCGAGAAGGAAGTGAAAATACATGCACGTTTGTTTAGAATTGAATTCCAGTCCAAAAATTGTGCACTTTTTTCTTGAAGGTTATTTTTCCTCGAGAAAACAACAATATGTTTCCTTCACTTTAGTTTTCAATCAAAGCCATTACTTTACAATTTACATTTACAGAGTAAAGGGTATTCAGAATCTTCGTGTTGTCGATGCGTATGTCATGCGCCATGTTACTTCTGCAAACACAAATGCTCCAACCATAATGATAGCAGAAAAAGCGGCCGATATGATTCGAGGAATTGATAGTGTCAACAACATTCGTAAACACATCGCCAATTTATAAATGTCTATGAAAGTTGTAATATTTATGAATGTTATCAGTATGTAACTGAGATGCATGCATGGTAACCTCCGGTTTTTTAAGCTAAATCATGAAAACATGATACATTGGAAATGTACAATGCTTACACAAAACATGTACTAGCATATATATATGATTTGAAACCAAGATGTAAATGTGAACTGATATTTTTGAATTCAAGCTTCTCTAAATGCCCCTTTCTTGTCCCTCTCTCACAACAAATGTTAAATAATCTCTCTTTCTGACTGTATGTATGTGTTTTTGTGTCAAGCCATTTTACACAACATAGTATTTATGTTCAAAGAGAACTAACTATCAATAACATATTAACTACATGAAATAAAAAAAATACATCTGATTTTTTTCTTAACCTTTAAATGCTAATTTTTAATAAACAAAATGAAGATATCGATTTTTCATTTAAATTGCCTTAATAATTGTTTAAATTGTGACTGATGTTAAAAGTTGAATATCAACAACCTTGGATACAGCTGATCATGTACAGTGACTTTGTTACTAAAACTTGTTGAAAAGGGGTGTAAAAGATGAAGTCTCTCAATATAATAAAACCGGTAAAAAAATGCAAATCGTGAAGAGAGTATAAACATGGACCCCTGGGAACAACAGAGGTAGCATCAGGTGCCCAGGATGAGTAGTCAGCAGGGCTTAAGGTACTCTGGCAAGCATTGTCGCCCATGAGCCTCTTGTTATATAAACGTTTAATAATCAATGATTGAAATCTCGTCTTCTGGGGATATATTAAGCTAATAATTTTGTGAAGTTCATTAAAAGTCTCATGGAGAGAGAGAGAGAGAGAGCGAAAACTTGAAGCAATTTATCTAGCCGCCCATCTGTATGAACCATTATACCTGTATTAATGTAGGGGCACAGACACAAATTAACATTATTATTTTTTACTTTTACGCCGTATATTTCTTTAGAGTTTCGTTAGAGTTATTGAAGAGACTCATTATCGATGGTGTGTCGAACCTTTCAACAGTCAGTCTTTTCCATTTGTATCGTATATTATTCCATTTGCATTGTATAATTTAATTAATTTCCACTTTTATTGCATAATTTTTGATTGTTTTCTATACCTTTCCATTTGTATTCTGTAATTTTTTTAATTGTAATGAAATTTTTTATCTTTAATGTATTATTTTCAATTTGCATTCTATAATTTTGTATTTTAAATTTATAAAAATATTCAAACTTGTTTGTATTTTTTTTAAGGATGTTTATAAAAAGGAAGCCACATACTCGCAGCTACACATACTTCTTAAATATATAGTTTTCTTATTGTAGGCTGTATTGCAACTTTCAATCCTTCTTTCAATGGTATTTTGAAGTAGACATAATTTTGAATACAGATTTCAAATATATGCAAGTTAAACTTCAATTGTTTTTACACTGGTATTTTGAAGTTGACGTGATAATATACATATATCAATTGTATGCAAGTTAAACTTCAATTGTTTTTCAATTGTATTTTAAAGTGCACATGATTTTAAATCCAGATATAAAATATATGCAAGTTAAACATCCGACTGTTTCACAGGAAGAAGGAAGCTTGATTTTCAGATTGTAACTGAAAATCGACAAGATTCTTATAATGACACAAAAGTATCTACATATACTTCGTAAAGGGCACGTCAGCTGTATGGTGTGATATGGAGGTAAGATATACGGCTCTGTACATTAATAATGAAACTTAAATGACAAAAAAATGTAAGATATCTTTAAGCAGAGAGATACTGAGAGAGAGAGGAGAGGTACCAGAGAAGATATAAATCTTTTGTATCTACTGAGTATACGGATACAAAAGAATATTTGTAATTTAAACTTAATTTTTTGGAAGATTTGAGTAATATGACAACTATTTTGCAGGTAGGTATTTTTTTATGTTTACTCCTTGATGTCCAAACTATAAAAGATATATGTACATAAATATGTATACAGCATGTTTTTTTTAGTAAACTAAAATTTTGTCTGATAAAGCAAAGGAGAATAAAACGCATGTTACATGCATTGTGTTAAAAGTATTTATACATTGATACCTATGTATAAATTGACAGTGAACACTTTTTTGATCAATGTAATAAATTCTGTACACTTGTTTTAAAGATGTATGATGAATATTGTAAATTCATTTGAGATTTTACATGTATGTTGATCAGATTTAGGACACCTAGCTTGAACCGACGACATGTCAGAAGAGATGTTGAATTGACCTTATAGCGGAAGTCGTTGATATCTGACCTTCTTTGGCATTAAATGATGGAATTAATGGAAGAAAGATATCCATTGCGTCGACAGAAATCATCATCAAAAGAAAGACGAACTATTTACGAACTTGTCAGCGAAATTCAAAATGACCAGCAGTTACATACAATCAATGAAAATGACAGATCACTGTTTATATTTGAGAGAAAGTTGTTCATCAGAAGATTAGCTATATATGTGACGGAAAGTAAATATCCTTGACAATTCATCTTGAACTGCTTCCTTCCTGGTTATTTGGGGTAAATGGGGAGTATCTTAACGTATAAACCTTCCAACAAAACATGCATAAATAGTTTTCTTGGAAGAAAATATAAAGAGTGAAATCGGGACAAGTGGGTCACATAAGGATAATAATATTAAATTTTACGCTTCAATGTCAAGGCCGTGAGTAGTACACAATATATATGTTAGTGTCTGTATCAAAAGTTAATTCAATGTCACAGTAGAACACCTTTATTGCCAAAATTAAATGTCCAGGAATGGACTCGGAAAAGACTTCAGTGATGTCGATGCTATTTATGAAAATGCCCTTGCTCTAGGTTAATCATGTGCAAGTAATAAAAACTCTTTCCCGTAAAGATTTTTTCAAGAACTAAAAGAAAGACTGATTCAAAGTTACTTGTAATCAAAACCCTAACATCAAAGAAGTTTTTGATAAATCAGGTTATTCTAAGATACAATATTTTTCCTCCCAATAATACAATTTTGATTAGTTTTTGTATACACGCCTTAACACTCCTTAGATTTTTTGAAGGTTTCATCTTAATTACAATTATAGCTAATTGTATTGTATTAGCCCTGGAGGAACATTTACCAAACAAGGACAGAACAAAGCGAACCATAGAACTGGTAAGTTGTCTAAAATTCAAACGAGTTCATGAGTTTTTACCCATGTAAGAGCAGATGAAAAATGCATTCCTGGAGTAATGTTATATATTTGAACCTATTTGGATTGTAAATGATATGAATTTTAGAATAGTAAGAAATGGTTAACTTACTATGATGTTCAAATTTCTTCCTTTCTGAAATTCTTCTTGTTCATGTATTTCTGTGCAACGTTTTTTTACTTTAAATTGTATTTTAAAAATGAAATATAAAAATCTATGCGGAATAACCTATTTATTATAACTAATTATACTCAAGCCAAGTTTTAATTTTCAAGATAAATTTATGATAAAATTTTGTTTGTATCATCTGTCCTTGAGAAAGCTATAAGACCAAATAATGGTTATAGCACATCATTATCGTTTTTAGGAAAAATCAGAGGTTTATTTTTTGTTCATCTTTACTACCGAAGCTGTTTTGAAGATAATTGCAAATGGGTTCTTCTGTGGGCGAAATGCATATCTACGGGACAACTGGAACAAACTTGATTTTCTTGTTGTTATTTTGGGGTAAGTATACATGTTTACTGAAACTAAAGATATGATATCTCTCATAATGCAATCAAATTACATATGATATAGTTGAATGCAGATATTGATATTCTGATGACTTTACTCAACAAAGTGAAGGTATACTTGTTAGGTTTGCTGAAAAACAATCCACCCAAAACGTAATTTACTGTGCCCCACTTCATCAAACGATTTTACACTTTTATGACATGGATTGAATATGGTTAACAAATTTTTTCATTTGCATTTTATTATTTTCCATTTATGTAGTATAAATATACAATACAAATAAATTATACAATACAAACGGCAAATAGAACACAATTAGGAATAATCATAAAATTCATTTGAACATTTATACAATACAAAAAATATAGAATATAGATGAAGTTGTATAATCCTGATATTGTGTAATCAATAAAGTCTTGCTTAATTCGATAAATATAATATCATACAATACAATTTAAAAAAGTTATATATTAGAATACAAATGAATAATTATAGAATTCAAATGAAAACATATAGAATACAAACAGAACCTTATAGGATACAAATTGAAAAAAAGAAGTAAGAAGGAAAAATTATACGAACAATTATAGAATCTAAATGGAAAATAATACAAATAGGAAATAGAAAATTATAGAATACAAATACAAATTATGCAATGCATGCGAATGAAAATTTATATAAATTAAAAGATCAATGCATATTGCAATGTTTTCATGGCATATTGGTTGTGAACTTATGATTGCTTATTTACACATCTGAGAAAAAGTGTGCAGAATAAGTCGACAGGCTGAAATTGCCCAACAAACATGCTCTATCAGTGGACCTGTTCAATCCATCCCTGTGTATTAAACAGATTTTAGAAAATTTTGCCTTAAAGAAAACTTTGATGCTTTAATGCGGATATCAAGCCAGTAAAATAACTTTAATCCGACAACAACCTACGATTGGTTCATTACTCGATCATCATGACTTTGATTTAACAAAATTATAAAGGAACTCATCAAAACCCACATCTTTCGAAATTAATTTTAACGTTATAAATTAACTTAGAAAATATGTTTAAAAATAGTAATATGGATATATAATTCTTTTTTTTTATTTTTAAAAAATGGAATTTATCAACAGAATTTTGGAGCATATGTTAACATTCTTGGGTGACGGTGTAGACCTGAATCTACTGCGATTGGCAAGAGTTCTGCGGGCCCTGAGACTTATATCTGGAATACAAAGTAAGTTTAAATCTGGAATACCATGTAAGATCATCTTTACTGATATTTACTAGAGTAGTGTGGGTTTGTTTGTTTGTTTGTTTAACGTCCCATTTTGAGATTTATTTACGCATATTGAGACCACTTGAAGAGCTGCAAATTTTTACACTAAACTCAGCCCGCAGAGCCATTGAGCATTAAGGGACCTTTTTCCTTCCAACATTTGTCGGGCACTCAAAATAATACGATTCTAATAAAGATTTTTTTTCTACAAAATCTTTATTTAAATATAATAGCCATGTTATAAGTATTCTAAATCAAATCTTATTGAAATTGATATTACAGATATGAAGGTAGTGACCACGACCATTTTTCGGTCCGTATTCCCCCTGCTGCCTGTCTTCTTTCTCGTCACTATGGCAGTGCTAATCTTCGCCATTATTGGTATGGACTACTACAAGGGAGCATTTAATAGGGCCTGCTTCCAAGATAGCAGACCCAGGATGGCTTATAACGGTAATGTTCAATGATCAATTTAACTTGCTCATTCACGTAAATCTTTTCCTTATATAAGGTATTTCCTTCTCATTTACTAATTAAAAGGGATGCACTTCTTATTTCTGCATGGATGAGGTCAAGTATGACGTAAAATAGAGAGATTAACAGATAAAAATTACATGTATTTATACATTATTATAAATTTGCCTCCATTTCCCTTTTTAAATTTTTTTTGCTTTGTTATGTATATAAAACACATTTTTTTCATGTACCCTTCTTAATTGAGAGGTTCATTTATTTTTCATTTCTGGAAGAATATTATAGTGTTCATACATACAAGGCTTGCATGAAAAAAATAATTGTACATGAATGATAAGGAAAATAAGATTTTAATTTTTGTATACTTTCACGTTTGTGCTATTGTGTGCTAAGGTCGAGAAAGATGTAAAGTGCATGTATATGACTTTGCACTTCGTATTCATTTCCTTATTATATAAAATGTAATATGTTGTGTTTTAGATAGAGCTATTTCTATGCTTTTTTGATAAAATTGGTCTTAAAAGAAATAAACTTTTTATTCTAGAGAAATTGATTATTTTTGAGAAACATTTCAACATATCATGAACAGATAGAATGAGCCTTTCCGACATTCCAGAGCCCCCGCGGCCATGTCAGGTTGACCGTGCAGGCGATGGTCATCACTGTACCGGAAATACCACGTGTCGTCGGTATTGGATAGGGCCCAATAGGGGTATCACAAGCTTCAACAACATTGGCTTGGCATTACTGACGGTATTTCAATGCCTCACTATGGAAGGCTGGACCGACTTGTATTACTGGGTAAAAACTACTTAATTAACCTTAATGATTCAGGACTATTTTCATTGAGGCCCAGAATTTATTTCTCAGTCACAACATTGAAAACACTTGAGCTGTATGATAATAAACTTTGATGGCTCTCCCTGACAGCTGTATTCTGTTTTGAAAATAAGGTTGCATATTTGATATTATTTCATTGCTAAAAAAGAAAAAAAAAATCGATTGTTTGATTTATTATTATTTTAGTGTACCATTCATAACAAAAAAGTGTAAACCTTCTTAACTTACTAGTAATACACAACTTAATTAACACCACATTTCGTACATTTTTTGTTCAGGAGCCTTACTGTTAAGTTCACTAAAATCAAAGGCCTGAAGGGCCACAATGGCGCCGCGCATTAGATGTGGCAGTGATACTGTGAAATTATTGGATTTCCAAGCATGTTTAAAAGCATGCATATGTCTACAGAAATATATAGCTTAGTTGTATATCTAGATAAAATTAACCGATTTAAGCATTTATGAAATAAACACCACGTTTTCCTTTTATTTTTTTTAATTTTTTTTTTAAAATACACTTCATTTTATTGTTTTTAATCACGATTCTACGAAAACATCGATGTCGGTTTTTAGCTCTACTGGTCAGAGACCAGAAGAGCTTATGCGATAGTAATGCGTCCGGCGTCCGTCCGTCTGTCTGTCCGTCTGTCTGTAAACAATTTTTCAAAACGCTACTCCTCCTACAGTTTTGGTCTGATTTCAATATAACTTGGCACACACGTAGAATACACTAGGATACATAAAACAGAGCATCGGTTTTCGATTTCGATGAACGGTGTTGCCATGGTTACTAAAAATAGAATTTTCTGTGAAATTCCTTTAAATTGCTACTCCTCCTACAGTTTTGGTTTGATTTCAAAATATCTTGGCACACAAGTAGACTACACTAAGATACATAGAATAGTGCATTGGTTTTTGATTTCGATGAACGGTGTTGCCGTGGTTACTAAAAATAGAATATTCTGTGAAATTCCTTTAAAACGCTACTCCTCCTACAGTTTTGATCTGATTTCAGTACAACTTGCCACACAAGTACACTACATTAAGATACATAAAATAGTGCATCGGTTTTGATTTCGATGAATGGTGTTGCCATGGTTACTAAAAATAGAATATTCTGTGAAATTCCTTTTAAATGCTACTCCTCCTACAGTTTTGATCTTATTTCAGTACAACTTGGCACACAAGTACACTACATTAAGATACATAAAATAGTGCATCGGTTTTGATTTCGATGAACGATGTTGCCATGGTTACTAAAAATAGAATTTTCTGTGAAATTCCCTTAAAATGTTACTCCTCCTACAGTTTTGATCTGATTTCAATATAACTTAGAACACAAGTAGACTACACTAAAATACATAAAATAGTGCATCAGTTTTTGATTTCAATGAACGGTGTTGCCATTGTTACTAAAAATAGAAATGTCTGAAATTCCTTATAATGCTACTCCTACAGTTTTGGTCTGATGGCAATGGCTTCTTTTCTCATCCTTTCTTATAAGTACAAACCAGTAGAGCTACAGTCTCGACAGAGACTTCTGGTTGGTTTTAACATTTATAACAGAGTACTAGATTTACCGCTTTTTGGCAGGTGATTCTGTTGATTCAGTAATAAATACACATGTTTCCTAAAGTTTTTATGCATAAATGAATTCATTTTAACCTGGAAAATGTTCATGAAAAGTTTGAATAAATTCTGTGCACGGGTAAATAAGAAATCGCTAAAAATCCAAAAACCGGGACCGTCGGGAGTTGGGAGTCGGAAGACTAGATTTATCCCTTGCCGGTCCTGATAACAATCTTGTTTTATTGGAAGCCATTTTAAATTTTGAGTTTCCAAAACAATCCCAGTTAATTTTTTACACCTGCACTGATAATTTACTGGCCTACTGAACATACGTTACATAGCCATCGGCATTGTTTACGTACGTAGATCAAGCTTGGGTTGTAACTGGAAGTTACAAGTACAACCTAATTTACGAACCAAATCCGGATATCGGTGATTCGAGCGATAAGCATGACCCGCCGTGTCATAAAAAATAATCAGGTTAAAGGTCGAAAAGTTACCCGACGAAAGTTGGTGAGTTGGTGACTATGTATAGGACTGTTGAAATTGTTATGATTTTCAAGCAATTTATGGAATAAACGCAAAAATTGGCAAATATATTCATACACCAGTTACATGAAGATCTTGGTTCGAGTACTATATTATTTGGCTCATAAAGAAAGCGGTGAACAGTCAGAGATTGATGTGCGCCGAGCTAAAGCTCGACGCCATAAAAATTATTTCTTTAAAATACACTTTACTGTATGTAAGATCGCGAAAAAATTAGAAAACTTGTCAAGTTGTTTGCTAATGAGTATTACATTTTTTAGTATTGTGTCTTCCTGACGAATATACAATTTTATGTTTCATAAAATATTTTATATACAAGCTTTTTTACATTGTTTTTGAAAAAGTTAGATTTATATTGCAGTTATTATTGATATATATGAATTCTTCCTGACGTTTATAACATTGTCCTTTCATATTTGTTTTTCCAGACTAATGATGCCAAAGGTACACAACTGAACTGGCTGTACTTTATCCCACTGATTATGTTCTGTGCCTTTTTCATGATGAATCTAGTACTTGGAATATTAAAAGGGTAAGTATGTTTGACATTATTATGTTAAGTTAACAAGTACATTTTACATTAGTGACGTCATTATGTATATACTGTATATTTTATGCACATAAATAAAAACAGATGTAATCAGTGTTTTGAAGCACATCTGATGATTTCAGAGTCTTTACAAGAGAACGAGAAAAAATACAACGAGAAAAGAAAAATGAAAAATTCATAGATCCTGATGAAAAACAGCAAATGCGAAACTATTTCCAATGGATAAACAGAGGAGGTATTAACTAAAAAACCAACAACATTAAGTTGATTTTAAAAAGCCACATGTCAAAATGAAGGACAAAATAGTATAAAATCCTCCTTTTGTACCTGTTTTGGGGTGTCTTTTCGAATAGTGCGAAAGTTTAACTAATTAGTTTTTACCTACAAAGTATCGCAATTTTAAACTTAATTTTACATTAAATGAGGAGCTAGATTTGGTTGTTACCATACCCTGTCCTTTAAAAAATATTGATTTATATGTTATAAAGTCACATAAAATCGTAAATTGAATATCTAGTAAATATTAAGACATGAAACGAAAGATTGACATGGCTTAAACTACTATTTAGTCAGAATTAAAAAATATTTTTAGAAGAAATTATGTGTAGGGAGCATTCTTCCATACCGAAGGATACACATGAAAGTTTCAAAGAAGGTTAGTTAAAAAAAAAAACTTAAAACCTCTACATTTCTGTTTCATTTAATAACTTTTGATTTATAACCGCTATATAACCGCTATCAACTTTTCAGCTTTCAAAAGAGAGATGTCAAAAATAAGGTAAATACTGCGAGTAAATAAATTTGTTCATGTCAGATAAAATATTTTCTTTCAAAAATAATAAAGGCTTTAAACTTAAATTATTTTAACTTGATTATATTTTTGTTTTAATAGGGTATTATATGTGAGAAGATTTGTGGAGTCGGATGTGTTCTTCTGGGGTACCATGTCCTGTGTGGCGACTAACACTGTAATTTTAGCCACAGAACATTACAATCAGCCTCAGTGGATGGATAGTTTACAGTGTAAGATGTGATTATATCTACTGTATTAAGATTCACTTAGCACTTAAATTAAACCCAAAACACCTTAAGATCAATCATAACAATTGACATTTTTTAGGCTAAAAAACTGTTCATGTCAAAGAAGAGGTCGCTAGTTTACATTTCACATCTTGGCAAATATGTGATAAAGAACAGGGTTCAATAATGCCATTTTTTGGCCCTATGAACTGAAGAAAATTTGAAACTGCTTGATTTTAGTTGACAATGCATTAAGAAACTAACAAAAACGAGATAATTTTCACGCGAGTCAATGCATTATGACGCCATGAATTGATTCATTTTTCTCATCCACTGAAAAATGCAACAAAACCGGCAGATTTTTAAAGCTATTTTCCGATATTTCGTGAAGAGCGCGACATCTGATCTAAAACAAGTACTGTAAACAGGGAAATTTTCGCCCCCGTTTTATTTTCGCCCCATTCGCCCTTGTCACATTTGGGCGAATTTAAAACGAGACGAAATCAAAGTACACTGTATTATTTCTTAAACGAGAACTGTGAATTGGCGAATTTAAAACTGGGCAAAATTGTCAGCAAATGTAAAAGGGCGAAGATAACACGGAGAGAACCCTATATACAGTAATGATTAAATGATAGAACTGTTTCTGGGAATTACAAGATATGTTTCATTTTTTTTGGATCAAGGATTAATATGCTCATTTTTCTTCTCTGAAAGTACTCGAATAGACGTGTTTTTTTTTTTAAATATAAGAACATTAAAATTTTATAAAGCATGTTTTCCTATACTTAAACTTTCTGGAGAAAACTTTAATTGGAAATTAATGCACTAAGCCTTTACTTTATCTTGATGTTTGAAATAGAATATAGAGTGTTAGTCTATAAATTGGTATATCTACAGGGCCATTTTATGCTTAAAGTGAACCTATCTCTTCTTTGGAGGAATCTAAGTGGGCTGGCTTATTTAAGATTTTCACTCCAAGGATCATGATCAACCTATCGACCGTTTTTCGTCTGCTTGCAAGTAAAAAAAAAGAGAATCTGAAACAACTTACATGAACCTCCAAATACAACTGTGCATGTTGTGGACAAGGGATTTCAAAAACCTCGTTTAAAGCCTGAATGGTTTTATAATGACTTTTTAAGGAATAAAACTATCATTTAGTCGTATTCTAACGAATGTATTTCAAACCAATTTTAAGGCTTTCTTAATGCTAAATTTGATTACGGACTACTCCGCCTACGTGATAACACATAGGAATCACGGTGGTTTTGTCCGGTCGAGAGGTAAACCTTACTCCGCACAGGCACCTGATCCAACTACCTCTAGACTTTTTAGGAGTCCGTGTTTTGCTCTGTTCACAAATAAATAATGTTTGCTGGTTGCTTAAGATCAATCATTATTTGTTATCTTACCTGTTTCATTTGTTTATCGTGGAAAATTTGAGGGTTGCGAACTGTAATAAATTAATTTAAAAAACAAACGAAACTCGAACGTTGCAAAACATGGACCTTTGGAGAAACACCAAAGGATGAATCACAAAACCATAAGAAATAGCCCCCCCCTCTCTCTCTCTCATGATTTGCAGTAATGGTAAGAAACATATTCTTTTATTTCAGATTATTTAGAAATTTTGTTTGTTGTGTTGTTTACCATTGAAGTATTCCTAAGGATATATGCACATGGATATCAACAATATTTCTACTCCTCCTTTAACAAATTCGATGCATTGGTAAGTATGTTTGTTGTTCCTTAGCGTTTCTAGACCATTGATCTAATGTTCTAAAATTTGATTGAGTTTTCTGATGGAAGATATTTACGGTGTCCCTCGGTTCAGTTTTCCATCTCTCGATCTGTCTTGTTTTCACATTTTCAACTTTTAAAAGTTTAATTATTAATTTGACATTTAATTATTATTATTAATAGATATTATAATAATATTACACAACACCTATAGGTTTGGGTAATTAGCGTCATAGGGTTAATCCTGCTTATTCGTTCTGGTAATCGAGGCTTAAGGTGTAGTGTCTTCAGAAGTCTGAGATTGCTTCGAGTTTTCAAGAAAACAAGGTTTGGTCATTTCAACTCTTTTTAAACATACATATTAAAGTGTAGTGCAAGATTATTAGTGCAAGAATGTAAGTATTGATTCTCAAATAGGCATTAACTATTTTGGTTTTACAGGTATAATGACAAAATAGAGAAGCTGATTCAGGTGATGACCGGAAGTATGTCCTACATGCTGAGTCTGCTATTTCTTCTCTTCCTGTTCTTGTTTGTGACTACGCTGATCGGGATGCAACTGTTTGGCGGAAGGTTTATATAAATTTTAGTGTTTTTAACTTTACGCCTTACAAACAATTTCCTAAAAATTTGTGATAAAAGTCTGTATTTTTATATTTTTTATATATTAATTTTATATTTGTTTAGATTTAACTTTGAAGAAGGGAGACCAGCTTCCCATTTTGATTCTTTCCCAAAAGCTATATTGACAGTATTTCAGGTAAACTTTATTTCTGACATTCCTCTTAATAATTCTTCTCTTTTAGATACATGTATTTCAAAGCTCATTATTACATGCTCTTCTTCAGATTATGACGGCAGAGGACTGGAATTCAGTCATGTACAACGGAGTTCGGGCCTATGGTGGAATAGACGGACTGGGGGTCTGCGTGGTGTTTTTCTTCATAGTTGTCGTACTTTTTGGAAACTGTATCTTTTTTAATACTCAATTATGAAATCTAAATAAATGACAGGTTATCATAGGGAACACAAGACTTGTATTCTGTCATTTTCTTTTGAATTAACCCAAATCCCTCCAAAATGAAATAAAGAAAGTAAGAAAAAATAAAATAAACCAACAAAAAAAAAATAACAAAAAAATATCCAGTGATGAAGTTAACTTCCATATTTTGAACATTATTTAACAAGCATTTTTGAATCTGCTGCTGACAAATGTCAAGCGACCGTTGCTTGTGTTTCGCTCATTTGGAATCATTTTAGGCCAGTTATGAAGTTAACATAAATGAAGGGATAATTCTGTTTTGATTTTTTATTTAATTTAGATACACAATGAACTTTTAAATGTTTTATTAAACAAGAGCATATGGCTTGTAAACATTGCAAAAATTGGGGCTTATGTAACGTACTAGTACACAAATTGAAGACCAATATTCAGACTTTTTTGCGTTTACCAGAAATGCTCTATTGAATAGGGGGAAATAAAAATGAACAAAAATGATTAAACCGTGGATTTTTTTTTTTTTTGGAAAAATATCACGACGGTAATTTTTATCTATAGAATTGCTTCTATGCATGTATAACGTAATTCTCGGGTATGCACAAAAAATTTCTCTTTTATAATTATTTTAAATATACATGCACATGTATTCCCTATAGAATTAAAAGGATGATAGGAGTCAAACACCTACATACTTACTACAAACCTGATCACCATGCATTGTACTGTATTCATAACTTAAATTAAAATGATTCAATTTTCATTGACTCTCCTTAGATACACTTCTCAATGTTTTCTTCGCCATTGCAGTGGATAGCCTTGCTGAGGCAAAAGAACGCTCTGATGCAGAGAAAGAGAAAGTGAAAGTGAGTATGAGAATATTGTTTCAATTTAAATTCTTAAAAATTTTTAAATTAGTTTTGTAACAATCATTAGTCGTATTGCAAAAAGCATGTTATGAAAATTAAGGAACTTTTTTGTTTTACTTTTTTTATGTATTAAAGGTAAATTTTAAAAATGTTTACCAGTGCTATTTTTTCTGAAAGTCTGAAATAAAGAAAGAGAGAATGAAAGATGAGGAAAGAACCTGTGATAATTTGTGAGTCTAGTAATAATTATTTAAAATACGTTTTAACAATACCAAGAATAATATCTAATAGATATAGTTACAAAAATTACGTCAACCAGGTGACCTTTATTTTCCCTGCAAGCTTTCAGTAAGTAAAGCATAATGTAATTTGCTTTTTTCTGTATAACCCTGTAAGTCTTTTAAAATATTAATATTTAATCAATGTTTTAAAAATTCAGTTCGTCTTTTTATGCATTATTTGAAAAAAGAAGTAACTCTACCAATGAAAAAGGAAGCACAATACCACATCGCACTCTCTGTATCTTTGGCCAACAAGGCAGGTGAGTTTTAAATCTGTAAAAGTGGTTGGTACAGTTATCGAGATTACAAATTTTCCTTCATTCTTTCTTCACAATGTTTGTAATGTGATGATTCTGAATAATATCATGTAGTAAACTTATCTTCGAATAGATTATATTATGGGTGCACTAATAAGCCATCACCAAAGTGTTTTAAATATAATCATCCGCAAAGAAAAATTCCACATCTAAATAATAATTTGCATAAGAAAATATACCGGTATACATATTAATTTAGATTTGTAAAATGATAATAAAACATTAATTTGACTAGTAGTTACATTTGGAACTCAAGTGGCCTCTAAACATTACTCGTTATTACCTGCTTTACTTTTTATTTCTATAATGTTAATTTTTGAAGATGCGCCACGATACTGCATCAGATGTTATATCAAAATGTATTCAAAACTAGCATTTGAAAACATTCAAGAGATAAAACATTTCCTTTCCGACAAGAAAATCATATGAATTCTAATCATTTTCAAACAGTACCGTATATATAAGTGGAAATTTTAGCGAGTCACAATTTTAGCTATTTTCCTTAAAAAAGTTATTTTTATTTTTAGCGATAAGTAATTTTAATGATTTTAAACTGCTCACTAAAGAACCTATTGCAAACAAAACGCAATTAATTTTTAGCGATATTCAATTTTAGCGATCTCAACACCCTCGCTAATAATACCAAAATTAAATCCCCGCTTAAAATTCTGCTTATACGGTATTAGTGACGCAATATTTATTTTGCGTTTTAGTATGTGATCTGTTTTGGAAAGAAGTGCTTGAAAGACATACACTGAACTTGATTTTGATTGCAGGGTGAGAGTGTTCGTCGGAAAAGTGGTCCGTCAGGATTGGTTTGAAAAATCGGTGATGATCTGTATAGTACTAAGTAGTATTACTCTTGCAGCAGAAGACCCTACAAAGGGCAATAACGCCGGCCGCAACAAAGTGCTGTTTTGGATAGATGCTGTTTTTGCTTTAGTATTCACCATGGAGATGATACTGAAAGTTGGTTTTTTTAAACCTGAAGAAACAATGATTAGAAACTATAAATGGCAAATTGATAGATTATACAATTTTGTTTTGGTTAATTTAGCTGGAGTACTTACACAACATTAAGTTTCTCGTTTTAAAAATTTGTCACAGATTATCGATATGGGGTTTCTGTTGCATAAAGGATCATATCTAAGACATGCATGGAATTACTTGGATGCTATGGTTGTTGTTGCTTCTATCATATCCTTATTTATAAGGTAAGGAAATTTTTAAAACCATTAAAACCAACATTTGCTTTATAGTCCTTTTTTTGCATATGATAGTAAATTTACTAAAATAAGATATCCATGTACCGGTGTTGTAGAGTAGGATTTCCCCCATAGCCAGTTTTCCCCCCGGAAATCGTACTCTATAGTAGGGTTTCCCCCAGGGGGAAATTTCGCACCAGAGCCAAATTTCCCCTCTTTCTTTCTCAGAGCAGGATTTTCCCCTTCGTTATAGATTCAATAAGAACCACAGCTGCAATATCTTTGTGGAAAAAGAAGATAAAAGACAAACTGATTTTTAAAAGGTAAATGAGTGTTTTTTTTTACTTATGATGTAAGAATTTTCTAACCATATATTACATGTATTTCAAATCATAAAATTCCAACCAAAATATATAGTTTTCAAAAGAAATGTAAAAATATTTTAAAATATGATGAAATAATGGATGCTTGGATTGGTAAATATTTTTGGAACTGTTTGGGTTGTAAATAATAACAATGATAAACTTTCCTAAACATTAAGAAATTATAGATTGGTCTCGTTAGCAACGCTATATAAGAGATAAATAAGTGTTTGAGCACTAGTTTAAGACGACACATTAAACGCAAAAAGTCAAATTTTAATTGTGTAAAATAATATTAAAATACATTCTTGAAAACTAGCAAGAGAACTTCCTATATACATGTATTTTATTAAAATTTTTAAGAAACGTGTTGAATTGTAAAGTTGCTGCAATGCATATTTGAACTTTCGCCAATTATTTCATTTGTGCTTGGCCAAACTTTAAGAAATACATGTATCACTTCTAAATTCAGGAGAGAGGCATCTAAGTTAGCCAAAAACTCCTGAATTTTGAAAGAAAAAGGTTTGTTTTATTATCTTTATGGATTTTCATATTTAACATGTTAGATTTACATTGTACAATACATGTATAACAAGCATTCTGAGAGTATTGCATTAGCAATACTGGTCCCCTTTACCGACAAGTGAAATCTAGTTAAAAATTGAGAATGCCATTATTCCGTAAAAATTCATTGAAGTGGAACAAAATGCAAACTTGAAATTCACCTACCAAAAATTAGTTCAATATCTTGAATCGTTAAGAAAAACATTGCGGAAAACCGTTAAAAATTAAGCGAAACGAAATGCAGACTTGAACTTTAACTTATCAAGATATACTCCTATACCAAAAATCAGCTCAATGTCTTCAAGCATTTAGAAAAAAAGTGCGGAAAACCATTTTGCGATAGAAAGACAATCATATTGACAGACGCAAAGGAAACTTAAAGTCCTTTTCAGTTTCAGCAATTTATTTTATTTTAGAAAAATGGTTTGACGGTAGCCTAGAAGTATCGGATTTAAAACTTTCATGTTCATTTTTCGTATAAGTATGTGCAATACATTCGGTCACAATTTTGAGGAAGGGGCACTTGTAGCAATGTCTACTACCCATATGAAAAAAATTTACTATTAGAATTCAATCGGAATATTCAGTTGACTACTAGTTGACGGTCAACTGACCGTCAATTGACCATTAATTGAATTTTTGCCATGCAAATGACGGAGCATTCAACTCATTTGCATAGAGTGGACCACTGTTGAATGCTCCTATATATTCTTTGTAGTTGACAACTAGTTGAATACTCTTCTATTTCCTTTGCAGTTGACCGCTAGTTGAATTCTCCTCTATTTCCTGTGCAGTTGACCGCTAGTTGAATGCTCCATTAGTCAGTGCACGTAGGTTGCATGCATTATTTGAAAAAAATGGGGGGGGGGGAGATTTGAAATCTAAGACAAGCAGTGTTCTTGAAAATATGAAGAGTCAAAACAATGGAGTTTCTGAATTGACATAAATGTACATGTAAATCTAAATGCATGTTATAAATGGATTGAGCTGGCACGCTCTCATAAGTTGTAACATGCTTTCTTCATTTTCTGTGCAGAAAGGGTTATATATATATAGAATTAGTCTAAAGCAATGGCATATTTTACCAACACAACAAGAAACGCAACAAAACACTTGATGCATGACAATTAGTTTTCAGAAGTTTTGTAATATTTTAAAAAAGTACACAATAATGGAGACCTATACTGGCTACAGTTTTTTGTATTCCTAAAATCTGTTTTAAAAAAATAACAAGCTTAGTAAAACAAATCTTTAAATTTTATACTTACAATAGTACATGAGATTTCACACGCTGAATCATCACGAAGACAATAATGTTTCAAATCAAAATTCCCACCTTCTACAGAAAACACACATGTACTGATTCAACTCTTGGTTGTTGTAATTAGGGTATAACAAACCCGATCTATAATATTGTAATTTTGAACCCAACATAAATATATCGTGGGAGAAATTTTCTAACAAGTCGAAGTGTTCAACTAGTGGTCAACTCTTGTTTTGCATGAAAATATCAAAGTATAAGCATTCAACTAATGGTCAGCTGGCCATTTTATGCAAATCAGTTGAACGCTTTTCAGAAAAGAATTCAACTCCTAGAGGTCAACTGTTTTCGCATTATCAGTTGACGACTAGTTGACTGCTAGTTGACGACTACCGGTAGTTGACGGTCATCTACATATTTTCGTATGGGTATTCCTCCTCAAAAATAAAAATAACATTGTATTTCATTGGGTAGAAATTTGGCTCAGAGGGAAATCGCACTCTAGAACTACTACACAGAGTAGGATTTTCCCCCGAAAAATTTACATAGTGTGAGATTTCCGTAGGGGAAATCCTGCCTTAGAGCCAGTTTTCCTGGGGTGGGGGGGGGGGGGGTTCTGCTCTAGAGTCAGTTTTCCGGGGAATTCTACTCTAGAACCAGTTTTCCGAGGGGAAAGATTTTAGGGAGGAAAGCCTACTCTACAAGACCGGTATTTACTTTTAATGACACATTTTGCTTTACCAGATTTTTTTTAAAATTATCAAATATATGTATGATTTCCACAAGTGCACATACATGTTCAATAATAATTTGTGATTTTGATCCCAATTGTAGACACTCAAATACGAAGTCATTGAAGATCTTCAGGGTTTTAAGAATCTTAAGAATTTTAAGAACGATCAACGTCAAAAGGTTCAAGGGCTTAAAGGTATTGAAAGATTGAACGCTGATAATGTTGAGGATATCACATTATCAACTAAAGAAAGAATGCATCCATCTGTTTTGTTGTTATTTTTCATAGAAAGCATGCGAGAAGTTTTCTAAATCGGTAAAGAGCGTAGGACCCCTGGTTTTGATTTATGTGCTGATGCACCTCACATTTTCCATCATGGCGGTTCAGCTACTGAAAGGAAGATTGTGTTACTGCACGGACATCTCAAAGCATACTCCAGATCAATGCAGGTATTAATATTAATTCAAAGAGTAAATATCAGTTATTCGTTTGATGATGACTGTTACGGATTTTATGTTTTTTTTTATTGTAGGGGAACATTTATCCAGTATACTGGATTTCATTTTCAAAACCTCGAAGTCAGCAACAGAGAATGGAAGAGGCGTGATTTTCACTTCGATAACGTTTTCGCCGCGATGACAACTCTGTTCGTCATAACTACCGGAGAGGGGTGGCCAGAGTGAGAAACATTTTATGTGCCATGAAATTATGCTCTCTCTATCTCCCTCTCTCTCTCATTCATGAAAGTCTCGTTACATGTGTTTTGAACCTTGGGGAATAATGACTAAAAATAATTTCTGAATAAAATTTTTCATGCCTTCCATTAGCATTTTAGATTCGGCAACATCAAGCTCCGGAATTGACAAAGGACCAAAACATGAAGAAAACTTACCTATTTCTATCTTTTTTGTTGTTTATATTGCCATTGCACCCTTTTTCTTCCTGAACGTCTTCATCGCTATGATAACAGTCGCATTTCAATCTGATAAAGGGAACAAAAAGAATGAAAATACTATTGGGTTAACTGAAAATCAGGTAAATCTTATTTTAAGACATTGTAAAAAGATTTTAAAAAAAAAAATTAAAATTCTTGTACCCTATTTTTTTCATATGCTCACTGAAAATTCAAATCATAGATAAACTTCTTTGTATATTTTTCTCTCTTGAATAGGAGAATTGTATTCTATATGTTGCAAAAACTGAGCCAGATAAAACAAGATTTGTACCAAAGGATGCATCTAAACCCCGGGAAATGATATGGCAACTTGTAATATCTGATCTCTTTGAAAATTTTATCATGCTGTTGGTCATTTTAAACACGATATGCTTAGCTATGGAGGTGAGTATTTCTTTCAATCTTCGCTGATTTAAATTGCAATTTGTACCTGTCTTTGTTATAAAGAATACCGAAACTCACCAGTGTGATTGCAGTATCAAGATCAGCCAGAGTCCTATGCATTAGCTTTGTGGTATTCAAATCTGACGTTTGTAGTTTTATTTGTCCTGGAAGCATCGTTGAAACTACTTGCACTACGCAAGGCAAGAATATTCAGTTTATATGAATTTGAATTCTTTCTCTGTATTATTCTTTTTTTGTTAAATGTTAATTTGTCTTTTTACAGAATTATTTTTCTGACAATTGGAACAAGATGGATTTCGTTCTTGTTGTGGGCAGTGTTATCGACGTCGTCCTAGATTTTTATAAAGTTAGTTCTCTACCTCATAGTATATCAGTGCATGTATATGCCAACTTTTGCACTATGGAGTTAAAAATAATTGAGATTGAAATTAAAAAATACCATCATTAAAATGTTTTCCGAATGATATACTTTTGTATTGAGGAAAATTTACTTGCACATGTTATGAATTAAATGAATAATGTGGAATTTGATACAAACAGAAATGATTTTTTTTATCAATAGATTCAAGGCCTCAACTTTCGGGCATTTAGAGCGGCTCGCGTAATAAAATTGTTAAAGAAATTCAGGCAACTCAGATATCTTTTATGGAGCTTTTATGTATCTATGAAGGTAATGTTTCACATAAAATTATACTCTATAACACTGAGTTGCATTCATTTCTAGATAAGGAGGCTGGGTTGTCAAAAATTTCCAAACAGGTCCACTTAGAACTTATGAAAAATGTTGTTTTTACCGTAAACCACAGTTTCAAAGTTGTGATAATGCAATGCAATTTCCTACCCAATTGTATTTTCCTACCAAGTTCTTTGCTATTATAGCCTTAACATGGCAATGACAACCAATACTTCTAAAAAAGACAGATTTATATAATGTACATTTTCAACAAATAATTAATACAGGTTACTACATTGAAAAAAAAACCGTTAGTATTTAAAGTGACTTTTGTAAATGAATTAAAAACTGGGGCATCTTAAAAATTAACATTCATCAAAGAATACAATGTATTTGATGCTGCCATATAAGCCTACGAGTCATTGTACGTATAACATGAAATGAAAATAAGTTACTGTATACTATACTACATGTATATATATTATAAAGTCAGAGTCTAAAACTTTTGGTATCATCTGGATCAACTACGCTAATGATACTGGTACATGTATTTGAACTTCGGTAGAATACGAAATAAAAAATTACTAATGTTCAAGATGTTAAGTTCCGAAGACTGGAATACTATAATACTCAAATATGAAAGGAAGATTGTTTTTTTTTCATTTCAGTCTTTGCCATACGTATTTTTTCTGAACTTTTTGTCATTCTATGTGTTTGGAGTTCTTGGAATGCAGGTAAAGTATGCTTTTAAAATCATTCCAGAGACAGGTTCGAAATTTGTGGTCTTCAATAAAATTCATGCATTTCTTCATCACATGCAGTTATGTTTTTTTTATGCAGATCTTCGGGGATATTAAACTTGATGACAATACTTCTATCAACAGATACAACAACTTTAAGAATATAGGTACTTCCTTGTTACTTTTATTTAGGTGAGTAACTAAAAGCAAGTCACATGGATACTTTTATTACATCCCATTAATTTTATGTCAAAAATTTCAATAAAACGTTTATTGACAGATGTGCCACGGGTGAAAATTGGCAACAGATAATGCTCGACTGTATGGACTGGCGACCATGTGAGGGCGCTAGCCGAGGAACTTCTTGTGGTACCAACTGGGCATATCTATACTTTATTCTTTTTATAACTTTATCAACATTTTTGGTGAGTCTTTAGTTTTTCTTCGTTTTTTATTAACTGTGTCCAATCTCCACGTGAATATGGCACTTTTCACGAAGAGTTATCTTCTGTGCACCAAAAGATATGTTCCAATATTGCATTCATTCATTAATGCATGTTATTTTGCTCATATTTACAGTATACACTATTATCGTTGATTGAATTCGCTCAAGATCCTATTTAGTTGACATGTTAGATACTATATTGTTTTTCCCCAATGTTTTAGTCAACTATAATAGTTAAAGTTAAGATCTGGAAAATTTTCTTGAGAAACACACTATATGTACTTTATTCATAGATTCAACAAACTTTTTCACATTGACAAGATTTCTAAGTGAACTTGTCTTAACCAGCCTTGGATATTACACAAATTTTATGTCATGAAAGAAACCATATTTCTCGAATGCAATGTCCAGTGAAACGTTTGTTGAATTAAGTTATTCATTCTCTAAGGTAATGAACCTGTTTGAAGCAGTCATAGTGAACAACTTTGACTACTTGCATCGTGATCCTTCTGAGTTGGGAATACAGCATCTCTCTACCTTTACAGACCTTTGGCATAAGTATGCCAGTTTCCAAAACCCGTAAGTAAATGCTTTTAATATATTTACATAATAAATGCTATAAGTCATGATGTTATACAGAAAATTTATGAAAATATTAAATTCAAATCTGTGTCCAGGCCCCTTTTAGAATCCAGGATTAAAACATGGTAGGACTTAATTATCACACCCCGCCTTCAGTAAATATTGGTTTCAATCTGCCCCTCGTCATGAACCATCAGATGTTTTTTTGAATATAAAAGGATCTATTCTACACACAATTCATCCTAAGCTGTTGAATTTTCAAAAACTTTTTAATAGAGCGACTATGAATGTCATCAGATTAGAGGATTTTGTCAAGTCCATGGAACCCCCTCTCGGCGTTGGTAGTAAGTGTCCTAAAAGGCAAGTGCATCTTTTCCTTATGAGGATGAACTTAAAGCTTACAAGAAGCCAGACAGAGGGGTTCCTTACTGTCAATATTTGGAACGTGATGTTTGGTCTAGTGGGGTCAGCGCTGGGTCTTCACAATGACCGTAAGTGAATTAAAGATTATATAATATTCTTTGTAAAAAATAATACAGTTATCCTTTAGAAACAAATTGAAAGGTTTTTAATATTGGACTGATTTGAATGAAAGAGTCTCGGACATTTTTTTTTTTGAAGAATGGAAGGATGAAAATTATGCAGCTCTCAGGAACACGATCAAAAAACAGTTGAAATTGGACGAGAACAAACTAGACCTAATGATACCAGGTTCTTATTGAAATATAAAGTTATACCTCTTGTAATTTTTTTTTTCTATAAAACTGTTTTAAGTGTATATAGGTCATTCCTTTACAGAATCTCAACCTGAGATCGGTTTAAGGGAGTATATCGTTATTAAAAAGTGGAAGAAGTTTGCGCAGAGAGAGAAGACCTTATCAGAAAATGCTCCACGAAAAAGGATAAAGACTAACGTAAAAAATTCAACGTTTCAGTTTGTTAAACGTGTATTACTAGTATTATAAAATCAAAAATATAAACTGTTCTTAATGCCATTTCATTATCAAAATTGTTACGAAATTTGTGTAAAACACTTTTATCCTGCCTTTATTACTACAACAAACACATTTTTAAAAATAAATAATAGTTAACTTTTTAAGCCATCCTTATTCTCGCATTCGAGCCAAATTCTATACTTTCATATCTTAATTTAAATTTTATTCAGTTGAATTTATTAGAAACTTGAGGCTTTAAACGAAAACTTTTTGACAAAAAAAATTACATGCTATTGAAGCCTGCCTATTCATAAACTGATTTACAAATTTTTATTAAACATTTCAAGTTCCAAAAGGCGCTGGATTGGAAGATTACAAACTTGAAATTGCGCTGTTATTTTTATTTTCAGTTGTTCAACCTAAATAGGAAGGATTCTAAAACAAGGAAGTCTCAAGCACGTTTGAAAAGAACAACAGTTCCCCAAAGCCATCCCATGATCATGATGGACAATTTTTCAGAGGTTCCTCACAGTAATTCAATGCTGGAAAGTTATCTGTGAAAATATATTCAGTTTTAACGAAGTCGTCACTTTTCGATAATTTAGAAAATTTGTGAACAAGTGTAATTGTAAAATGCCAAGTTGGAAAAAGCGTCAAGAAAGCACCATGTTCTGGTAGTGTAAATGTAAACAATATTCCTCCATTTAATTGCTAGTTTGTTGTTTTCATGTTTGTATCATATAATGAAAAGCAAAACCGTCAACTAAAAATCTAAATTAAATTTACTTCATGATAGTATAAAAAGACTAGATAGTATTTGATATTTAGCAGCACCGTTCAATGCAAATAAAATCAAGACTTTAAAAATGTGGACGGATCCCTAAATGTCAATCTTTATTTCAGTCTTTGAAGATTTCAGTGTTAGTTCTCTGAAGTGAAGAGAAAGTCTTCACGCCTTGAACAAATGGCTTCACATTGTATCTATTTAAAATCAAGCCGTCCTCGTGAGTCAAACCCTTTTCTCGTCGACGGCTAGAAAATTTTTCTTCATCAGAAGATTCCTCACTGCTACCAGAACTGGACTCGTCAGTTGACTTCCACATTGGATGTTCACGGTCTTTCAGCCAATCAAAATGACTCTTTCCTTTCATGCGAACCTGTTGCAGAATATGCTTGATCCGCCTCTGTTCATATAAATGTGCTCTGCCGGGTTCTTTAATTTCCGGAATAGGTTCCACCATGTCTTTGATGTACTTAAGTTTAGGCATTTTAGCTCTTTGTCTCTCTTTTGGCTTATTGACGGCTCGGAGTAACTCAAGTTTCTCAAACCAGGTTAAATCACTCTGTGATGCAGTAACTTCCTCCTATAAAAACAAACATTTAATATGATTTAGATTAACTATTTTAAGTTATATTTTGAGAAATAATTGCTATTGGGATGTAAAATATCACGTTAGGACAATTCATTTATTTGCTGATCCTCATTAACATTGGCAACCGCTAAATCTAGTCTACTGACAAATACTTAAAAGAATATTTCAAAGTCTTAGAAGTGTTAAGTTTGTCAACAGATATGGATAAATATGACACAGACAACGTTTATGGCAATATACAACTTTATATTTTTGCCATGTTAAATACATGCCTGCATGCAAACGTCAGTCCTGTTATTTATATTACAGTATTACAACAAAAAATATGTACAATCAAACAGATGACAATTCAATTCTGAAAATAAACCACATATATAAAACATTAGTCGATGTACATTATCAGATAAAAAAGAAAATGTTAAAGCTTGATTCCCTCAAGAGCTCAAGTGAAATGATCGAAAGCGAAAGACAGCATGAACAGTATTTATCTTGTGTGAACTTGATATGCAAAGAGTGATGCTACTGAAAGGGAGAAAAGTTTTTCTTCTTTGAAAGTGTAGTACAGAGACAGTTCTAAAGAGTATGAAGACAGATCTGTATATATACAATATAAAGTAAAATTCTATGTACATGTACAAGGTTAGAAGGATACATTCCGGAAAAGGAGAGACAGTTTCCCATGCGCCTTTGTGCGAGTTACTAATAAAAGTCTAAAAGTCGTAGCTTCAGTCTTAAAGCTACGGACTAGAAGTGTTAATACTATATACGGTTGAAGTGTTAGTATGACTACATCGTAAAAACTACATGGAAACCCTGATACCTTAAAATTAAATGAAGTCTACTTTCTGAGGGGATCATAACGGGCCGCTAAACTGACGTAGGCCCGACCACTGGCATCAAACCACATCTGAAAACGAGGCAAAAACATGATGCTGACTTTCGAAGAAGATCACAAGATTATCAAGTTTCACAACATTCTTTTAATAGATTTGAATTTTAAAATCTATATTGCATGTTTGGTATTTTGAAATGAAAAAATTGGGAAGCAAACGTGATATCGTATTAAATTGTGTTCAGGGAAATTGTGTAAACCATATATCTGGGAAAGATATGGGACAATTAGTCAGGGAGTGAATAGGTGTTGGTTGAGGGGATTTTTTCTACGATGATCCAAATCTTCTAAAAACTGATACAATAAAATGGAGGATATGATAAAAAGTTACGGCAATATCTTCTACAATCACAATAATACAACTTAATATTTGAAGGAATTATGACTACCTAACAAACATGCAAAATGTAAGAAATCTTGAATACACTTTAAAAACAAAATTCTTTATCAACAAAGTAATACGAAACAATGGTATTTAAAGTTCTAAAGAATGATTTCGTATGTTTTGTAAAAACTACACGCATGCAAGTTACACTCAACTTGAAAGTGAGTACAAGCATCACTAGGCAACCAGTTAGTTTCTGAAGTTAATGCGGTACATTGGAAAAACTGGGTAGTGATTATTTTCAAATTATTACATTCCATCCACTGCAGTCAAGTGATGTTAAGCAAGGTTAAAAGGGGTGGTAAAACGTAAAGCCAATCACCCCTTCAGCCATGGACATGCCATGCTTGTGACCTGCTTGCTGTTCCTGTTGACGCCCCTGCGTTGCTAGAATGTTGGAATCACTAAGGAGATACTCGGCTACTTTTATCATTGATTCTTCGTCTGCTTCACGTTGTCGGCTGCTCTTGCGTGACGTTACTGACTTCCTGTCAATTTCTCCTTTTTCGTCATATTTCCAATAATGTAGTGTTGGATCGGCTGTGTGAGCATTCCGGCCATCTTTAGCACTTTGAATGGATCCTGTCTTATCAGATTTTAGACTCTTCACACTATGACAGTCGGGGGCACCTTTTGGTCTATGAACTGGCTTCTTACCTTTGTTGTTTATATATCCTGCATATTTCTTCCGAAGGTTCTTCATAAGCTTTGTCTTGCTTTCTTTCAATGACATGATACGAGGCGTTTCAATATCATTTTCTAACTCGTCCGCCACAGCAGTAGCTACTTGTGTTGATTCAAGTTTCGCTTGATCTCCAAGATTGATGTCAGATGCAACCAACATTCCCTTCACATCTTTCTTAATCACTGGAAAGTCGATTCTGTCCTCTGTTCTTGATCGGAGCAAACGCGGGCTATAACATTCGGCAACTGCTACAGCAATCTCTGGCATGCCAGGAGAAGGTGTTTCCCTTTTGGTGTTTTTGAGTCGAGAGCGTGGCTGAGGAGGGGTGGAAATTGAAGGGTACCAGGTCAAACTTCTGGTATTCAAAACAGTCACACTATTATCGAGCATCATTTCATTTGGAAACACGTGATAAGTACAAGAAGGTTCGAGGTTTTCATTTTTTACACGTATATCTGCACCAAGACATGCCGTGGATAGTCTGCTTATACTAATGGCGTCGCTCTCTTCCGAATTATCCCCTTCTTCATCTTCTGACACTGATGCCCCAATGTCCAAATCGATTCTGTCGGACTTTGGAGTATCACATGGATGTGTTCTAGTCTATATTTGAAAGCAAAAATTGCAAAGCAAAATATTACGTGAATAATACCCCAAAACGTAATGAGTACAAAATTGTTATACCGATTGAGCACCACCACCATATAGTTTTTACAAAATCATATCAAAACCCTTGCTCTTTAATTTCAATCATCAATTAAATTTAGTCAATGGATTATATTGTCCTTTCACAAATCTAAACTAAAAGCTTCGTTGTTATTGTTTTTCTACAACATTTGCTATGTGTACATGTATCCCGTCTACTATTTCTTGCCTCTGGTTATTCAGTATCTAAGTATCCTAATCCTATTACTCTGGCTTAATTAAATGAATTAAACCTAAAGGTACTACATGCACCTAAAAGTGTTTCTATTCGCATATCTACACGTGAAACACTTGAATGCCTTTCGATTGTAATTATATATAATGCAATGATATAAATTTAAATCAGAAAAGAATCAGGATATATAATGAACACCTTTTGCCACTCCAAAGATTCCCGCCACACATTCGGTGCACCCTGAAAGGCAAGACTACTACCATTACAGCATGAAACTTGCATCAAAATTTTACACAAAATTGCTTATTCTTCTCCTTGCAACGTTTAATAGTTTCTTGATTAATTTCTAATTTTGTATTTGGCAAGCAAAGGGGAAGTATTTTAAAGATAAATTTAAAATACTTGAAAGATTGTAGGGTTTGAAAGGGAGTGGTTCACCAATGGTGAAAGGGATAATGTCACATTAATTGAACTCCAATTTTAAGTTATTTGAAGATTATCATTAAACTCTTCGGACAGAATTATGGATTAAAGACTGTGCATTGTTAATCTTCTTAGCGGTATTTGGGGTTTTGGGGATATTTTAAACTCGATCCTGAAAATCTTGAATCCAGGTTGATTACTGTTTCTACGAGTTATAAGTGAACAATTTGTAACATTAAACTCTCAAGTGATGCAGGTTTCATGTGCACTAAGATGCTGCAAGACTAAGGCAGGTGTAGGGAAAAACTCTAAGACAAAATTAACTGCAGGAGATCATGTTCATACGTTATTCGGATGCTCATAGAACTCGGTGGAGGAAACTGTTGATGGTCGCAAAATGGCGCGACCCCTGGTGTCAGACAAAACGTGACCTAGTGTCCTCACTGACACAGTGGTAGTAAAGGGTCGTTGCCTCTGATTGAATAAAATAGTCAAAAACATGAACTGTTGTTGGTGGAAAGTCAATAAAATTGTCAACTGTTTTAGAAAGCAATATGATTATCATATAGAGTTATATTACATTTGATAACTGTAAATAAAGCGAAAAACTATGGAACAACCATGATAAAAATGATTAGACACTCGAATCCGATTCTGAACTTACACATTCTTCCTCTGAAAGTCGGATTCACAGATCGAGGTTCCAATCTAAATTAACCATGGTATGTTCCATCGCTTTTCCATCCGTTGTACTAAGTTACCTACTTGTACACTTGCCATCAATAAACACTACTGAATAATTTATTTTTGGGGTCATTATAGCCAATGTAAGTATAACTAATAATTTCTGCATCAATAATTTCTCTGAAATCAGTGTTCCTTTATTACAAATAGATCATACTTCGTACCAATATCTTTGGGATTTTTTTTTTCTATTTATTCATTTATTTTCATATTTGTTGTATACTTCGTTCATTAAAATAGTAGATATGAAACAATATTTCGAAGAAATCTCTATAAGCCTTTGAATGGTATGTGTAAATGGTTTTAGTTTGAAGAATTATCAGACTCGATATATATTGGATCCATATACTAGTACTCTCAAAGAAAACTAGCCTAATAATGAAAATAATACAATGTATATTTGTATATGTGAGATTTATCAGTTGGTAAACCGGTGCGCTAGGAAGAAGCCGATAATACTCATCTACCTGTTTGTCTGTTGCTACACATGCCAGTGTGTCTAACGTACGGACTCCGGTAGTGGATGGCGGTGTTACGGTTTCCACAAGTTTGTTCGGATTGTTTTGCCTGAAATAAAATAAGAATAAAAATTATAATTTTAAAGCCAATCGTATACAAAAGAAGTTCTTAATGGATTTGGTGCAATCCAGTATTGACTTTAAAAGAATAAATTAATAAAAGATTTTCTTTGAATTCAGGAAAAGATGTCTGCACTATTTTTTTAGACGAAAGAAAATTATCAGGACTTATTGTGAGTACAAAGCTATCAATCAATTCATGTCATTTTAGAACCCCAAACCTGAAAAAAAAAATATACAAAACATAATTTCAAAGTAAAAATCACCTCATAAACCCTTTCTATGTGAGTCTTATCACAAGCATTAATCGAACAATTATTTGCCCATTTCAGACGCAAAAAGTCGTAATCATTTCACAACACAAAATGGCGTGATTTCACTTCAAAACAAAAATGACAATCAGGACTTATTCTAGAATACACTGTATTCCAATTAAGAGTCTGTGGACAGCATAGAAATAAGGACGGAAATCGAAGAGTCTCCGTCTTTAGAAATGAAGGTATTCAGTGATTTAAATCTACTGTGCTATCATCGGCTACAATTACTGACACACTGCTTCCAATGTGCAAATTTAACAACTGTGTTTAAAGAAATACACATGAAAATTGTATTTACTAAAGAACTGTTTAAATGCTATTTTAAAGCGTTATTGAGTTCCCAAGTTTAATCATTTAATGCATACAAAAGTAATTTTAAAAAGTAAATAGAAAACCAGAAAAGTTTATCGGAGCCTTTGACACAAGTTGCATTTGCTACGATTTGTGTGTATAGCCTTTGCAAAACTATTGTTATGACAATTTCAAACAAGATTTTGAAGCGTCTATATCAAACAGTCTGGAATTACACTAAATTGATATACTGTTTTTCCTTGCCCTCCTGAATTCCAATCCTGCAATACAGAACAGTGTAGTCAGTGTTCTGTCACTCTTGGTTGTTCAACCATTCCTCGGCTCTAAATTGTGACTTAATTACAACTGTCACGCCAATATGTACCTTTTTTATGAGTTTTAAAATTCATTTTTAGTGTCGATAAATTTATGTCGATACAATACAGGTCTTACAAGATGATACAAAGAACACTGGATTTAACGAAAATGGAAACGAGAAATCTGGAAAATGCGAACAAAGAGTTATGTATGAACAGCTAAATTGTAATATGGATGTACAACATTGTGCAAAAAGCAATCTGAAAACAACGAAAAAGCTGTGAGGATACAACATGGGCTCGCAGGCAAAATACACAATTATAAATGTGAGCAGAGTTCGATATATGATAAAGACGTGGGTTGCCATGAAAAATGTTTGAATACAGACAGACAGAAAGACGACACAGAATACAAACTAGAACAGTTCATTAACTTGGTGCTAGTAATTACATAGAAAAAATGTCATGGTTAAATCAAGTCATATTTGGCCTCGACATTTCGAAGTACGCGTGTTTTCTAAATAAAATTATTCATTATTAAAAGAGATATTTTTTTCTAAAACCAATAATAAAAAGCATGTGTTTGTTATGTATAACTTACCGACTCGGTAATCGCCAAGCTCTACAGAGGGACAAAGATGTAAAACATCAAACAAAGGTCAGATCATTACAAATATAATGCAATTTATTCTGTTTTCGGCCAAAGTGCAAGTCTTACAGAATTGCCAAATATTAGTTACCACCATATTGCTTTTAATTTCCACACATTTATCCACATTAATGAAAAGGTATCTAAAAAACATCATTACCGGATCCAACAAAGGTCTGAATGCTTTGTGCTTGTATACAAGGTTAAAACTGAACTGGCAATGCATGGGGAAACAGTAAATTTATTTTCAATGAAGACAGTTAAATGTGTTAGCTTATAATATTGTTCAAGCACAAGAAGAGACTACAATCAAACTGGCTGGTGACAAATATTTTAAAAAAAGGTAAACATTTACAAGCACTTGTTTACATTTACAAGTACCTGTTAACTTGTAATCACTCGTTTAAATCAGAAATTACATGTATCTCTCCGTATTTTGTAAGGACAGATTTTACGATGACTAATTTTAATTTTCAAAATTACATTGTATATGTATTTGTATATAAGATTTGTGGTGGCATCCTTCATCTACGGGTCGTTTAAGTATTAGTTATTATAAGGTGAGGATTTAATCCAATAGTGACTGTTTTGTCCCTCCCTTGCTCGCTGTGTCAGCTCGGCATAGATAAAGCATTCAAAAAAGATTTTCTGCTTTGTTGGTCTTTTCTTCCAGAACAAAGTTCTAACAACAATATACGATTTATACCTACAGAACCCAGTTATGTGTCCTTAGGTTTTTGTCTTGGGACATTTAATAATCTCGTGTGTATTAATCCATCTTAATGATAGTTTATAAAATGAAAACTGAACTTCAAAATTTTGATAACACGTGCCGTTGCCTTTTATTTGGAAACTTTGAAAAGTTTGTCTTTGACATTCAATAATATCCAAGATATTCATGTATCTGCTTAGAGAAAAGGTTTATATCTATTTTGGATTTTGGATATTTTGGATTTCACAGATGGCAAAATATTAGGTCAACTAAGCTAATGGCTAAAGATGCTATTTTTACTCACAGATATAGTTGGAGGGCACCGCCCCTAGGATTTTCAGGGTTTCAAGAATAGTTAAATAAGAAAAGATGCTCTCGCCATTTTAAAAGGACTCAGTAAAAGGGTTATGCATGAAGGAAAACGGCTTGTACTACTCCCTTTCCAGAAAACACAAGAAATAGGTTTAAGTTTAGGTTTCTTTCTGGGTTGCATTTTTTTAGTGGATATGAACCCATCTTGGAAAAAATTTCTAGATCTGTGCATGTAATGAATTGATAAATAAAAACTAGCAATGATTTTTGTCCCTACTGGATTACTAGAAGTCCAAAAAAAAATGGAACGTCAAAATCTTAAGTGTTGCAGCACTGACATACAAAATTCATTTGTTCTATAAAACTATTGGAAAAAATACCTGGTCTCATATTATATGAAAACTCTCTTAAATATGCTTATAAAATAAAAATTATTTTCATATTAATTCCAACCTTTTCTTCATAAGTCTGAGCACACTCTCTAGCCTATTTTTTAAAATTAATTAATTATAATTTCATGTAAAACTCTTTTCTCCTTTTTTTTTTTACAAATAAAATATATGGACTTAATCCATTTACTGCATTTTTTTTTCAACATATGTACTATGTTCAACAAATTGTCTACACTTTTTGGAAGGTAAACAGTGATATCTTAATAGGAAAATGCTTTATCTTCAAATCCTTTTCCTAAATCAAACTTTTATTTCTCTTTATGTGTCTGTATATTCATTCTTTTAGTAATTAATATTGAACAATTACAGACAACATTTGTTTGAAATATTGGTGTTTCTTAAAAAAATCAATCAGAAAAACCCAATAATCCCACTGAAATTAAGGATGTGCATGTATACTTGACACCCGATGCTTTCAGAAGAGTTGCTATAATTATAAGGCTTGGTTTCTTTTGAATCAATATTCCCATAAAACCTTTTCAGATAAAAAGACAGTGTAGAAACATTAAGTCGGCTACACCTTCCACTGGTTTCTAGGGTTCTAAATGATTACAAAAAATGAAGAAAACAATTTGTTCAAGAAGTAGCTCATGAAACATTGATTTCACATGTTGTGTTTAATCTCTAATTCCCAGGCAAGGAAATAAAAATGATTAATATCAAGGTGAAAGAGGAATTCAGATTGCCATTAGGGCCTTATAAAAATTCTCTGTTATTTGACTCCCCATAAATCCGCAACAAAAATGGATAAATCTACAACATTGCCAACATATGTTCTGTGATGGTCTGCTTTTAAAATTCTAGCTCTGACATAGTTACATTGATCAAGTTTGACAAATTCAGTAAGGTTCTAGAGAATACATCTTATGAGAGAGAACCCCCCTCCCCCAAAAAAGAAGTGATCAATTCCTTCAGACTGAAAATTTGCAAGAAGTAAATCAGATTGTGTTTTGCTTTGATATCAAGTTCAAGAAATTATCAAATCAGCTTAATAGATGTTTGTGCCAAAGCAAACTGTACATATCAGCTATCCAAACTATGGACTTGAATTTCCCATACAACCTTTTACTATGATAAATCTGATGGTAATTCATGTCTAAAAAACAATTTTTATATATCATTATGTTACTTAATAAGTATGGATTCTGTAAGTCAAACTAATTTTATTTACCTTTATAAAAACATTTGTCCTAAAAGATAAGTTTCTACGATTGATTTACAGGGGTATATTGTCTCCTCTGATCTCAGTATTACACAAGCAACTAATAAATAATCAACTAGTATATACCCAGTATTTATTACTTGTAGGTGCAATAAAGAAGAGAGTGACAAGATGCCCCTGATTGATTATTTGAGGGGTACATCTGAATACCTTTATAAATGTTTAAGTACATGTATATCATGATATCATCTAACCAAAGTATGATAAATCAATAAATTATTTTAGTAATTCTAAAATCCTAATTATAATGTGATGGTAATACAAATTCCCCTTAATGAGGAATTACTAATTTAGTCTGTTTGGAGTTCCTATGCTTATTTTATCGAATGAAGTGATTTAAGATTAATCACTTTAATACCTAGTGCATTATACTGCAAACACATTAAATCATTCTGTCTCTTAATAAACTACTTAAAGGAATACTCTAGACTGGTGGGCAGCTATCCAGTATATTTCAGGGTTTGTTTATACAATCATACAATTCCATTAAAAAAGAAATGTAATCTGATTTCTATTGTGCCTGAGCAAATATTGTTTGAACTCCAACACTTGGCCATTTTATTAACTGGACTGTTAAGGAAACGAAACCATTTCATTCAATGTCAGTTTAACTTTGATTACATTGATAGGGTAATAAAATACTTTTGATAGATCATTTGATTAGGTTATAAGAGATTTTATTTTTCCTTGTGCGGGAAAACAATTTGCTTTCTTGATACACATATTGACCAAAGAACAATTTTCCCTGTACCCAAATTTGTTTCCATCGATCAAAGCCTCAGTGGGGTACCTTTTTTCTTTGCAGACCAACAATAAAATCTACTCAGTACTTTACCTGTATATTTACATTATTGAATGCGAAATACCTTTCTATCAAATATGCTACATATAGCAACCAGGTCTCTCAGAGTGAAATGGTTATTCTTATTTAGACTTAGATAACCAAATAATTGTATGAATGGTTAAAAAAAATGACATTCTGAATTGGTATGTGTAAACTTCTGTGTAAACAGAACTTATTTTCAACCATTTCTTTCCTATTGAATAGATTAAAAAAAATTAATTAGAATTCCTCAACTCAAATGGAAATCAAGCTATTCTCTCTCTCTCTCTCTCTCTCTCTCTTTGCAGAGTATTAAGCATGCAGGCAAATGGAAACTTCAACAAATAGGACAGGGAACAAAAGCCTTGGAGAGGGATTTGTTCCTAAACTCTGCATGCTTTGGGTTTAGGGATATGCACTCTATATAATTATGCTCCCTGATTAATAAACATGGCAAATTGCAATACATGTATGCATAATTGTGGGCTAACAGTGTTTGATTATAAAAAATCTTAACAAAAAAGGTGCATATGATAAAACTACAAAGTCTTTACTACCTGACACCTAAGAATGTGTTCCTCAGTTTGGGTCTGCAGACAAGAAGAGAGAGACATGTTAAACACTTACAGGCAATGGACACAGCTGAAGCACATGCCAGCTGTCCGATGAAGACATCATGCTACACTTTGTCATGCAGATAGAGAAAGATGCAAAATGAGCTATTTTGACATTTAATGTTACATGATACTCATGCAGAAACAGTGTTTTAAATATGAACTCTTCAATATATATTTTGAATTTCAATGAAACAACCTACAAATTTAGCACATAAACTATGATAAGATATATTGATAAATATACATGTAAATAAGAAAATATGCTAAGAAAAAAATCTTATTTCATGCTTTGGTGAATAATTTTCCTCTCCCATGATAATATCTAATTTCACCAATACTGGCATGCATGTGTTTGCACAATTTTTCAATCAGTGAATAACCTTAGAATTACCCTCAAATATGCAAAAGCATGTACCAAGTCAAAGTGTGTGAATATGCCTTACTTTCCCTCACACATTTCCACATTCTTTAAAAAGCATTCCTTATTTGAAACTTTCAAGTTCACTCTACCTTTTTATGTAATTTTAAATCCTAATCCTGTTCATTTGAAGAGTTGGAAGCAAATATATGTACCTTTAACTGACAGTAAATACCTGTTAACTGAGATATTTAAAAAAATGTACAAATATAATGGTATTAAAAATAAACAGGAATACTTGTTTGTTCTCAGTATGTTGTAAATATCTTGTTTGATTCTTAAATTAGTGAAGACTTTAAAATTAAACTGGCAAATCATTATACTTACACAGATATGGGAGGTCTCTTAACATGTCCATTAGGAGGGGCTGCTGGCACAGAGACCTTGGTAGGGACTTTTCCTGAGGGGTACACTTTGGCTGACTGCATGCGGGGGGAGGGATGCTCAACTCGCTCCGAATTCCGAGATTCTGTCCGACTTGACCACATCATTTGACAGTCTGGTGACAGTTTGTATTTGTATGCTTGGCTATTTTTTTCTGCCTGGTGATGGTGATTGTGCTTTGTACAAACATGTCCATTAGCTGTATGAGGTGAGTTGGGTGGTTGATGAGAATTGGCACTTTGGACTCCCTGAGAAGGAGAATTAGACTGATAACCAGCCAGTGAAGTAGGTTGTCTGTTCGTGTACTGAAGGGCAGCTGTGAGGTATTTCTGAACTTCTGAAGCACAAGGAGGGGCACCACAGTTACAAGTATTCTGCTGCTGAACGTGTATTTGAGAGGGCGACTGACCATGTCGACGAGGACCATCGCCCTGCACTCGGTCTAAAGCACTGTGGGACTTAAAACCTAATCCATTAGTATGCTCCCTTCGGTACTGTTCAATGTAAGCACGGATATCTCCATAATGTTTGAATACAAAGGAGTCTTGAATAGATACCTGTTTATTCCTGAAATCACGCCAAGGGGGTGGGGGTTGTTTAACACCCTCTTTCTCCGGTTTGCGTAGAATAACTTTGGGTTCACTTACCCAGCCTTGAATTTCTTCATTTTTCCCAATACTTTTGGAATTCACAACTTTTGATTCTGTATTTGTGAGGTTGTATTGTGAGTAGAGTTCCTCTGCGTGTAATATTTCGTCTTGTTCTATCAATTTAGTTTGCAACTGTCTATCCAAAAAGAAATTAAATTCGTGACTACATTCTGGATTTTCTTCAGATGTCATATCCCTACGAATTACGGAGATCGTCATTTATGCCTCTTTTTGCGAGGTTTAAACTAACCCTTCTCTACCATCGCCGACCTAGCCTTTACTGTTGGCAAGCAGACAGCTTTGTTTTGGCTGTTCCGTTTACTGGCTTTAGCAGGTGCGCGAAACCGGTACCTAATTTTTTAATGTAAAATCGCTTGATATATAACGATACTTAAGTATATATGTAAATTATTTATATGTAACGATTTTTTTTCGCAAAAAAGATATGGAATACATTTTCTTACTCTTTTTTTCATATTTCCCCCATTATTACAAGGATATAATTCCATTCCAAGGGCGGTAAAAGAAATAGAAATTGGACATGTATTGTTAGTCGTAAAATATTTATGTTTCATTGATCTGTGTTTATGTTATATAAATTTCTCTACATATTTCTTCCTTTTTATTTTCTTATATTTTATACTTGAATTACACAAAATCATTGTAATATATTCATTCAAGATTGCGACAAAAGTTTTCAAACACGGTTTTCTATAGTAATTCGATAATTTCTCGTTGCAGATAAAATTTACATATTTTTTATTCTTGTTTTTGTATAGGTCGTCACAATATAGTGACCGATTATTATTATTTTATTAAAATATTTCTAAAAGTTTTTGCTCAATTCACTCTTAGTGCTTTTGAAATAAAATATTTGCAAACTTTTATCATTGTCGTCACACTACTTATATTTCGTCGGGAAAATAACTTTCGGAAGTTTAAATATTATAATTTTTTTCATGGTGCATGTTGTGTATTAATAAAAATGAAAACTGAAATTGTTAAAAAGAGATATATATATACACTTACAGTCTATATCGTTTTTGAAAGTACCTAGAGAGAAACATTAGATTACCTGTAAAAGTCAGCCGAAAAAAAATAATCCTATCTAGTAATTTTTTTGTCACTTTATTTTTTTTTTACATTTTCCTTCATATGATGATAAGTGTGTGTGTGTGTAATGCACATTTTCAAAGATTATTTGAAAGAATAATTTTTTTTATATACATGTAAAAAGAAATCAATGTCCGAGTCAAAGTTTGTTGTAGTTCAGACAAACCAAAAAAAAACACGAAATCACATCCTGAAACCAAGCGCTTAACATTTATCCGAAAGAGGATTGAAAACACACACTTATTGATTCCTAAGTGTGACGGTGTAATAGGAAATGTTTGAAAACAAGAGAAAGAACGGAATGGTGCTGGATAAAAGTGCAAATATTTTATTATTTATCTGATCAGTATGAAACCTTTAAAGAACCAGTAAATCCTGGTTAATTTTATATAGAAAATATTATGAATTATGATATCGTGATATTTAACATTTTGAGGATAACAAACAGTCAAAATTTATCTCAGTATGGGACCAGTACCATGTAAAAATATGAATTTTACATGTAGCTATACATGTACCTTGTAAAAAAGTTGATGCTCCATGCTATACATGTGTACATGTAGATACACATCTAAAAAGGGATGTAAACCTTATTTTTCATACACAATTTTTTTTTTGATTGATGAAAAAAATAATACAGTTTATGCAAACCTTTTTTTTATATTCTTATATTTTGTAATAATTTACCATTTATTTGTGAATATAAATAATGTACAGGCAAGTAAAGTTACCACAGGTAAGGGAGGTGGTCAGCGTGTGTGGGTTGTAATTAGCTGGAGATCAAAAGGTGAGAATTAATTCATAACAGCAATTATAAGGTCGTACAGCAATTATCTGACCCCCTGTGACTGAACCTGAAAACATATAATTTGTGTTAATGTGAACATGTGTATATAGAATAATCTACCGGGAAGTTTGATTGTCTAACAATATATATTTTCTTAGTCAATAAAACTTGGGCTTTATAGCTGATTTTACATACCCAAACAAAAACTTTTCTTAACAAATCATGCCAAAATCACATACAAATCATATCAAACTCACAAATTCATGAGTTTGAACTATGATTTAGACATGATCCATTAAATGGACCAAATTAATTGTATGATCCTGATGTGGTTTGTTTCTGGGGTATGAGTCTGCTATGGCGATTCTGAAGTGCCATTAACTTAGAAAACAAAGGAACATGAGTTTGAAATGATTCGTTAACTTTAACTGCTAAAAGTTTGTGATTTTGGTTTCTTAACTTTGTCTTTAAACTCCATACGAGTTACACATGATCTGTTAACTTCTCTGTTGAGAATCATGAGTTTTATATGATTTGTTAACTTTGTCAGAATTGGTTGTATGATCCTGATATGGTTTGTTAACTTTGATAGGTTCCCCAAGCCGGCAAATAATTACGGAATTAATTAATTAGATGGCGGTATGCTAAAGTAACTACTATGAACATAATTATCAGTGTAAAAATAATAAAAATTTAAGTACTTCAAATAAACATATACAATCAAAATATTAATTAATATTCTACAAAATTTCGAAAACATAAATATGAAGGGACATGATAATTTTTTATTTTTTTGTTCGAAACTTTCCATACAGGTGCGAAAATCCTGGGGGCGAAACATTTTATACAGTTTATGCAATCCTTTCTTACAGACAATTTACTATTGGCAAACTTTAAATAAAAAAAAATAAGCCTCAAAGAATACAAGTTGGTCTGAAAATGGCATGCATGTATATACAGGAGGGCTAAGAAGTTTGACTTTCCTCGAGCAGAAACCCTTGGCTAGTGAGGATGGTAGGGGACTGCCCCACCCTTCCAATTTTTTCTAAACATAAATCGTTACTTGTTACAATGTACCCCCCCCCCCCCCTTTTCAAATTGTCAATGGTATGCGAGTTGGACAAGTTTTTTTTTTTTTTTTTTATTGTCAGCCGTGTTTTTCAAGTAACTTAATTTAACTTTTTTTTCTCTACTGACTGCTCTCCTCATAAAAACGATTCTACATGTAGGTCCCTGACATATACATTTAAAAAACCAGAGGACACCAATGATAATTATTTTAAAAGATGGTCCTAAATAAACAAGTAACAAGTGAATTTATAAAATGCATGTACGTAAGCCTTTTCCATTTATAGTTTTTCATTGTTTTAAAAAAGTTGATTTCCTATGCTCATGAACAAAAAATAAAATTTACAGCCCCATGAATTAAAAACATGAAAAAGCCCTTGTCTCCATAAATTTTGCATCGGTCCCATGCTTTGATAAATCCTTGAAAACGCTTTTAAATGTCGCATCATGATTCATGAGACCGAATGAGAAATATCCTCGTACGAGCTAACAAAGTAATGTCACGTTCCGCTTTTTGGCAAATTGGGCATGCGTGGTGGTTTCAATATGGAGTCAGAGTAGCGATAATAATACTTTCAATGCAATGAAATTTGCAGATTTCTGGGAATATGCGTAAAAAATAAAGGTATGATGCACACATTATATAGTTAAGAAAAGTTAGAAATGGTCAGGTATGTTTGCACTAACAGTTACATGCCCATTTTACTAGCACTTTGCTGTATTTACAAAGTTGCTATGAAAACTATTGCATTGTTTACAAATAAAAGATTCTGAATCACACGTGCTAAGTTACACCGCCCCTGTTTTAAGTAAAAATACTGTATCATGACCATCAGTCTGAAAGAGAAAGTTATTTTGAAACAAATTTACGGTAAGAAATTATCCTCAAGGCAGTTTTAAATTGATGATAAATTGATGATTTGAATATTGGTCACCGGCAATACTAAATGTTTATATTAAAAATCATCCGTACTCGGCGATATGAAATGTTTACATATAGTAAAAATGGTTTAGTAATACCGTTAATTCAGATTTTCAAGGTAGCTATAAATGGCGTATCTGAGCTAAAAAATAAAAATATGAGATTAAGTGTCTACAGACATGACAGATTTACATATTTGTTATTTACGTTCAAATTAAAATTTCCACCGATTTTGAATTGAAATATCCCCACTTTAGTGCAGTAAAATTGACTTTAAACAGTGTCTCACTCTGATATTTAAATGCCAAGTTGGAAAAAATTGGTAATTGTTTTAAATTTCTGATATCTATGAAACGCTATTGATTTAAATTGTGTTATTTTCAGGAAAGTCCTATATTCCTATAATGTAATAAAACAAATGGAAAGATCTTTTTAATTTTAGTTAGTCTGAACTTATCAAAAATATGCCATATATCCCTTTAATTCATTCTTATTACTTATGATTATTATGCCCTTCTTCAAAGAAGGGAGGGCATATTGCTTCGCTGTTGTCTGTCGGTGCACCATCAGTTTCCGTTCAATTTCTTCGCAGAGGATGCACAATTTATAATGAATTTTTGTATACAGATTTAACAAAAAAAAATATCTAGGTCGAGTTCTGTTTTGGGTAGGATTAAGCCATTTTGGACAGAGTTATTCCCCTTGGACTTAAAAAATTCCAGTTATTTGCAGTTTCCGTTCATTTTCTAAGGACATCTTGAGGACATCATCTCCCCTCTTACATGTACTATAGACCCCTGGAATTTTTGAAATTTTTTTTTTCTCAAAAAAAACAAAAAAAAAAAACAAAAAAAAAAACGAAAGAATTTTTTATTTGTCTCATGAAACTACATACATCCCTCATATATATATAACAACTCATTTTGTAGATTTAATATTCATTTCATTAAATGATTATATCATTAACTTTCACAAATGTTAAGACATTTCAGCTACATGTATTATCAAAGCTGAACTAACAGAAGTGATGAGGAGACTATACACAAGTAATTTAACACCTAGAAAGTCTGAAACACTATTTAAGAACACAATTTGAAGAAAGCTGGTTAATAAATTAAATGATATTAAACAGTTAAGAATGAATTTCAAGATTTTTTTTTCATAAAAATCTTTGAGGAAAATTTTCAAATTGACCAAATCATTTTGAAAGTGATAAATGAATGCATGAACTTCATTTGTTATAATGAACAGGTGACTTTAACAAACAGTGACCAATCTTTAGAATTCCACAAACAATACAAAGTTGTAAAGAGTTTTAACTGTTAGATTACAATGTTTTATAACCTGTGGGATTAGAAATCACTGTGCAGTAAGCATTATTTAAATAATTATATTATTATACACATGCACATTTGCTATAATTATGATAATCAGATTTTACTGTAGATGAGAAATGTGTTAAAGAGCACTCAAAACTATATAAATATAAATTTAATAATACAAGTAGTTGTATTTCAGAATACCTGATGTGTCAAATCTTTGAAAGAGAATGATTCTGTATCATTTTTCAAGGCTGCTATATGATATACCTGCTTTGTGTTATGTATACATAATTTTGTTTTGTTTTTTGCAGGTGATAATTTGGACCCAGATCTGGTAATATGGAGGTGGACATCAGTAATCTCAAACCTCCTAAAGGAGACAATGCCTCCCTCTCTTCTGCTGGTCGAAAACCTAAAAAGAAAAGTGCGCTGGCAAAACTCGCCGAAAAGAAGCGCAGGTCATCAGAGAGTGGCAGTGAACTGGGGTCATGTGTGTCGCTACAGTCCAATCAGAATCAAGACATCACCAAGGAGAAACCAGAATCAGACGCCAAGGAAGAGATGGAGGTAAAACTCGACAGCACCCAAACTTCAGATGAAGTCCTGGAAAATTCTAACAACAACCAGGCAGAGAATTTATCTAATAATGCAAACTACACAAAGCCAGGATTACAGCGTGGGAAGAGGGTGTCCAACACAAATGTGAAAAAAAATCCCAAACCAGCACCCAGACTGAAGAAGCCTGATCCCGAGAAATGTGATTGGGACCCCCCTCCCCCTCTTGATGCAGACGACAATGGAAGCAATGGAACAAAAGCACCATCTGATGCCACTATACACAGATTCCGGGCCCTGAAAATGGCTAATGATCCAAAGGGGTCATTAGAGTCCCTAAAGAGTCTTCCTTTTCAGCCAAAACCACCTCAGACACCAAAATCTGATAGGAAAGTGAAGGGGAAAGGAAATTCTAAAGGGGAAAAAAGAAACCGAGAGGCTGGTTCCTCTGGGGAGGAGATAGAGGTCGAAACCAAGTCAAAGAAACAGTCCTCCTCCTACATAAACATTAAAACAGAAACAGAGAAGTACGGCAGAGAAAAATCAGATGACGATGTGTTCATGAAAGATAACCCTAACAAAACTATAGGTTCCAATGCTGATGTGTTAGAGATAAACAAAAAGTACAATGAAATCCTACAAAGTGACAGTGTTCAAATGGCCAGTCCTGGTAGTGCCAGTACCTCCAGAGGACTCCTCCCTCCTCTTTCCTCTAAAACTCACCTCCCTCCCCTTGGGGACATCACCTCAACCTCGCTCAAGATGACCATGAAAACCGACCCCTCTTACCCTCATCAGAAGTTTGAAGATTCGCGGACATTAGACAATATTTCTCAGAGGTCTCTGTCAGCATCTTGTGCCATGTTACCCATCACCATCAGAGAAGCCAGGGCAAGGTAATATTTTATATGTTTACAATTGATATGTTTACCATTTGTTGTTGAATAGCAAATTGTCTTATGTCTTCCATTTCCAAAGATGCTGCTTCAATATATCAGATTATCACCTTAAGATCACATTTTTGCTATGTAAACTTTTCACAGAGAGCCAATTTTAACCAAACTTTACAAAGCATCCAAATCTTCAAGAAAAGACAAAAAAGCTAAAAAATATCTTTCCATTGCCATAGAGGTTACTAGGGAATCCAGAAATATATCCCAAATCTTTTTTTTCTCAAGAACCACTGGGCCAATGATTAAGCTTTGAATTTTGTTAAAATCATGACCCCCAGGGGTAGGGCGGGGTCACAATAGGGAATCCAAGTTTTACATAGAAATATATAGAACAAATCTTTAAAAATCTTCTTCTCAAGAACCACTGGGCCAGGAAAGCTGAAACTTATGTGGGAGCATCCTTGGGTAGTGTAGATATCAAATTCTTAAAATCATGACCCCCGGGGGTAGGGCGGGGCCACAATAGGAAATCCAAGTTTTACATAGAAATATATTGAACAAATCTTTAAAAATCTTCTTCTCAAGAACCACTGGGCCAGGAAAGCTGAAACTTATGTGGAAGCATCCTTGGGTAGTGTAGATATTAAATTGTTAAAATCATGACCACGGGGGTAGGGCGGGGCCACAATAGGGAATCCCAAGTTTTACATAGAAATATATAGAACAAATCTTTAAAAATCTTCTTCTTAGAAACCACTGGGCCAGGGAGGCTGAAACTTATGTGGAAGCATCCTTGGGTAGTGTAGATATTAAATTGTTAAAATCATGACCCGGGGGGGTAGGGCGGGGCCACAATAGGGAATCCAAGTTTTACATAGAAATATATAGAACAAATCTTTAAAAATCTTCTTCTCAAGAACCACTGGGCCAGGAAAGCTGAAACTTATGTGGAAGCATCCTTGGGTAGTGTAGATATTAAATTGTTAAAATCATGACCCCCGGGGGTAGGGCGGGGCCACAATAGGGAATCCCAAGTTTTACATAGAAATATATAAAACAAATCTTTATAAATCTTCTTCTCAAGAACCACTGGGCCAGGAAAGCTGAAACTTATTTGGAAGCATCCTTGGGTAGTGTAAATATTAAATTGTTAAAATCATGACCCCTGGGGGTAGGGCATGATAGGTATAGCAAGAGGGGGAATCTGGTAATGATCTGCATCACCCAAGTTACTCAGGTGAGCGATGTGGCCCATGGGCCTCTTGTTTTTCTGTGCAATAATTAAGCTTTGAAATCTTATTTTTTGATGTGATAAATCTTATAAAAGCACCTGACCTTGCAGACAGGTGGAATATGATGTGTCAGCATAGTATGATAATTTGTCAGCATGGCAAGATGCTGTTTTACAACAAACAGCTTTCAAAAATAAGAAGTCAATGCTGATCAATACATGTTTACGGTAATAGGAAGGGAGAAAATGTGTGGCTAAACAGAGAATCGAACCCAAGACCCCTGCATCACTAGACAGGTGCTCTACCAACTGAGCTACCCAAGCCGATATCCAAGGCCCAAACTTCTAAATGTAATGGTTTGGGCTGAAAATATCAGCCTATAGCTAGCTAGCACAGTAGGTAGAGCACCTTATAAGTGATGCAGGGGTCCAGGCCACGCCAGGGGATTCCAGGTCCAGTCATACATTTTCTCCTTTTCCGTTTCTCATGTATTTACATTATCTTATTTTTTTTTTCTTCATAAATGTTAATTGCATACATCTTTAAGCACCTTTCAAAACTGGTGTGATTTTTAGATGCAAGGGCCCTTCTAACCCCCCGTTCACACAGAGCTGCGACTCTACGGCGATCATCCTGATCAAGCCACAATCTGAATTTTTTTTGGATCGGGGCAGATCGCAGCCGATCGGCGTCTAAATAGAGCAATTCACGCAAATTATGGTCTTCGCAACGACCGTACTACGATGTGGCTACGTCAAACGTGATGCTAACACGCTTCTAGTACGATGTTACGCAGACCGTTGCCGACAAACGGCCGTGTTTACTGCGTTTACGCTACGCTGCCACTAGGACATTAAAGACCATACTACGACGCTATGCAGACCTAGATGACTGTACGGCGATGTCGCTACGGTGGTGCCGATCAAATTACGATTGCATTACACTTCTAGTACGATTTTGACGATGATGTGAATCTATATATCTTGCAACCGCAGATTTTTGTACTACGATTTTAGCGATGATACAAAGCTTGCGACCGCATTTTTCTTTTTTTTTTTGCGGTCTTTACCATATGGTTTAGGGGCATTTTCAATTTTAACTGTAACAAGATGTGAAAATTCTCAATTGCAAATGATCGTCAAGTATATTGTCACCCTTTATATGTAGTTTACAGATGATGATTGGTCAAATATTAGCGCTATAAGAACAAACTCCTGTTTGATAGGTCGTGATATGATCGGTGTAAGGTCCTTGAAGGTCTTCATAGGATCTTCAGGAACGTAGAGAGATCGTAGTGAGAACGTAATACGAACGTAGAGGCAGCATTGTATGAGCGTACTTGATAAGTTCCTACGCTCTTACGGCGCTTTTACTATGATCACGAAGATCTCTCTACGATGCTTCCGCGCTGCTTGTTCGATTACGGCGCTTCTACTACGCTCTTCTTACGACTTAACCCCGATTCTTGTTGGCCACGATCCCGCTACGCTTGTTTTGAACATGTTCAAAATAAGCGTGGTGAGAGCGTAGAGCTCTCCAATCATGAAGACCCTACTGCGATCATACTACGCTTATGACGACAGCACGACGTTTCTCCTGCGATTTTTCACGATCGGCCACGCTGTCAGCCACGCTTTGATTGTAGTAGAAGCGGCGTCTATGTGTGAACGGGGGGTAACATAGAAAATTAAATAGCCTAAATGAATATAGTGTGGGGAAATAAACTACTTAATTCTAAACATACACTTGTTATATTTTACAACAATTGTAAGGTATTTGTTTTTAGCTCTACTGGTCAGAGACCAGAAGAGCTTATGCGATAGTAATGCGTCCGTCGTCCGTCCGTCTGTCTAGCTGTCTGTCTGGTCTGTCTGTCCGTCTGTCTGTCTGTAAACAATTTTTCAAAATGCTTCTCCTCCTACAGTTTTGGTCAGATTTCAGTATAACTTGGCACAGAAGTAGACTACACTAAGATACATAATTCAGTGCATCGGTTTTTGATTTCGATGAACGGTGTTGCCATGGTTACTAAAAATAGAAATTTCTATGAAATTCTTTCAAAATGCTACTCCTCCTACAGTTTTTGTCAGATTTCAATATAAGTTGGCACACAAGTAGACTACACTAAGATACATAATTCTCTATATCGGTTTTTGATTTCGATGAACGGTGTTGCAGTGGTTACTAAAAATAGAAATTTCTGTGAAATTCTTTCAAAATGCTACTCCTCCTATAGTTTTGTTCAGATTTCAATATAACTTGGCACACAAGTAGACTACACTAAGATACATAATTCTGTGTATCGGTTTTTGATTTATGAACGGTGTTGCCGTGGTTACTAAAAATAGAAATTTCTGTGAAATTCTTTCAAAATGCTACTCCGCCTACAGTTTTGGTCTGATTTCAGTATAACTTGGCACACATGTAGACTACACTAAGATACATAATTCTGATTTCGATGTACGGTGTTGCCGTGGTTACTAAAAATAGAAATTTCTGTGAAATTCTTTCAAAATGCTACTCCTCATACAGTTTTGGTCAGATTTCAATATAACTTGGCACACAAGTATACTATACTAAGATACATAATTCTCTGTATCGGTTTTTGATTTCGATGAACGGTGTTGCAGTGGTTACTAAAAATAGAAATTTCTGTGAAATTCTTTCAAAATGCTACTCCTCCTATAGTTTTGTTCAGATTTCAATATAACTTGGCACACAAGTAGACTACACTAAGATACATCATTCTGTGTATCGGTTTTTGATTTCGATGAACGGTGTTGCCGTGGTTACTAAAAATAGAAATTTCTGTGAAATTCTTTCAAAATGCTACTCCGCCTACAGTTTTGGTCTGATTTCAGTATAACTTGGCACACAAGTAGACTACACTAAGATACATAATTTTGATTTCGATGTACGGTGTTGCCGTGGTTACTAAAAATAGAAATTTCTGTGAAATTCTTTCAAAATGCTACTCCGCCTACAGTTTTGGTCTGATTTCAGTATAACTTGGCACACAAGTAGACTACACTAAGATACATAATTCTGATTTCGATGTACGGTGTTGCCGTGGTTACTAAAAATAGAAATTTCTGTGAAATTCTTTCAAAATGCTACTCCTCATACAGTTTTGGTCAGATTTCAATATAACTTGGCACACAAGTATACTATACTAAGATACATAATTCTCTGTATCGGTTTTTGATTTCGATGAATGGTGTTGCAGTGGTAACTAAAAATAGAAATTTCTGTGAAATTCTTTCAAAATGCTACTCCTCCTACAGTTTTGGTCAGATTTCAATATAACTTGGCACACAAGTAGAATACACTAAGATACATAATTCTTTGTATCGGTTTTTGATTTCGATGAATGCTGTTGCCGTGGTTACTAAAAATAGAAATTTCTCTGAAATTCTTTCAAAATGCTCCTCCCCTACAGTTTTGGTCTGATTTCAATATAACTTGGCACACAAGTAGACTACACTAAGATACATAATTCTATTTATCGGTTTTTGATTTCGATGAACGGTGTTGCCGTGGTTACTTAAAATAGAAATATTTGTGAAATTCTTTCAAAATGCTTCTCGTCTTAGAGTTTTGGTCTGATTTTAGTATAACTTGGCACACAAGTAGACTACACTAAGATACATAATTCTGTGTATCAGTTTTTCACTTCAATGAACGGTGTTGCCCTGAATACTAAAAATATAAATTTTTGTTAAATACTCTCCAAATAATGTGGCATGCAAGTAGACTACACTAAGAACGTAAAGAGACTTAATCAAGGATCATTATTCTATTTATTGCTGTTGAAAAGTTTCAATTCCCAACTGCTTAAAATTACTTTTCTTTTCCTTTGCTATAAGTACAAACCAGTAGAGCTTCAGTCTCAACAGAGACTTCTGGTTATTTGAGTTAAGGCAAAACAAAATACATTTGGTGTTCCAAGTGAATTGAAAATATGTGTTGTTCTAATTGTGCAATCCACCATGCATTGACAAGAAGGCATAGGGAGTTGAATGCTGATAAATTAAATGCAGATTTTCAATGGATTTCATAGAAAAAAAAAACACTGAATGTATGCTACTATATGTGTAATACTGCAAAAGTATTACATTTAGCAGTGTATTCTATTTAGAAATTTTGGTGGAAAGAAGCATCCAGTAAATCAAGTACATCGCTAAATGTCTTGTATATCATATATTATGTCTAGCACATTCAGTTAAAGCTAAATCCAATTTATGCTAACTTCTTGAAAAAATAACTTCCACCAAATATTGTACATGCCAAATATACATTTACAGAATATATAATTGCTTTATGCAAATACATATATGTAAATTCAAGACAAAGGAAAAAGAGGAAATGTTGAACATTTTTTCCTAATTACGGTTTGTGATGTAAATGGATGTGCAAGGATAGAGAATACTGGTAGTATATAATAAGTTTTTAAACAATCTATAGTATTAAATACTGCAATACAAAGGAGTCATTGAGTAATATTAGTTAAGAATTGTGCATATTCATTGCAATCAGTTTAAATATCTTTCTCCATGAATGATGGCCGGTTATGCACATGCATCCATTGAATTGTTGGTATATTTTACTATCATGCCTAAAAAGCAAAAAAATAAATAAATAAATAAATAAATGAATAAATAAAAAAATTTTAAAAAAGAGGTACAGAATTATTTTTCTGAAAATTGGAATTGGTGTCAAATTTTAGGGAACAAAAATGAATTTTGTGCAGACAAACATAATGTGCAGGTCTTATTGTATAGGTATACTGGTACATGTACTAGGGATTAGTACATATGATTTATATGGTACATGTATATTATTTAGTAGAAATGATTCAAAGAATGCCAAAAACAGAAGGAAAGAAAGGTGGAAAAAATATAATACAAAGAGTTGCATCACGTAAATATATTATGCAATATTGACAAAAATTTACCCTTTTCTCTTTAATATTTATTTCTGAAATTCTAGATTTTGTGCATAACTTTAAGACATATTTTGGCCCAATTTGAATCTTTTTTTATTTTAATTAATCAGAAAGTTTTGCAAATTATGACCATGATTTTCTTTGAAAGTTTGATATTAGAACTTCACAACAATTCTAAATGCCAAGATACATGTATTTATCACTTTCTGGTTTCCTCTACACTGAAAAGATCTAATCTTCCCCCATGTATCACTGGAAAAAGTCAATATTGACAGCGGTAATACTAATCAAATATCAATAGGAAAAGAGCCATCTTTGCCACACAGTCACATTATGGACAATTCTTGTTCAGACTTGATTAGCTCAGAAAACATGGGGGCTAAAATATGTAACTCGAAAATTAAGTCAATTAATATTTAACAGCAGGGGACAATATATGTCCATTAAGCACTTTATGACAAGGTTTTGTCCAGATGATGATTTATGGAATTGTAACAATGACCTTTACTATAGGGGTAAGAAGATTAAGGGGCTATTGATCAACTGTAACCAAAACACACAGTTCGATCTATACTAGTCGTGACATTTAAATTCCTGTTATATAGTGCACGTCCAGGCCTTTAATGTGTAGGAAATTGAATGATATTTGTCTTGTAAAATAGACAATTTTGGCCACTTTCATTTTATTGATTTGTTTTGACGGAAGCCACTGCTATTGACAACAAATTAACACTGGAATACACATCAACACTTTCAGTTTTCCTTATCTTGACAGTTTAATTAATGGGCAACTTTTTCCCATGTTTGTTCTGTGAAACATGTGACATTGAGCGTTGGATACAGAAATCAGCTGTTAACAATGTCTATTCTATATCCAATTCCAATCTGTAGGACCGGCTCGAGGGGAGATATCAGTATCACCTCCTCCCTCGTAGGGGCCCCAGAACTGGAGAGGTACTTCCCTGACCACCAACTCCGAATCTGGGTAGGAATCTGGAACATGGGGGACAAGAAGGTGAGTCCATGGTTCATTCCAGGTAAATGATATCCTCTATATTAATGACATTCAAGTTTTAATAAAAATTAATACTCTTGTATTTGTCTGTATGCTTTGTTGTAATGTAAAATTTAATAAACAAAACATGTACAATAAATTGATTACATTTTAAGCCTCTTTTAAGTCCTAGGGTGAATATATAAGATAAGTGAGACTGATAGAACTAATCCGTATAGCACTATAGTGTAACTTAGTTATGAATCCTTCTTTGTAGGAGTGTAAGGACTCACTGCAGGACTTTATCCTGCCAGTAGAGAGTGAAATTATGCAAGACGTGTATGCTGTTGGAACTCAGGAAAACAATATTATCAAGTAAGAAAGGCCAGCATAAAGAATGATAAATACTTTGTTTTATTTTGCAGCTTGGATTATTTGCATGTGAATTTAGAATCCAGAAGACAAGCCAATAATCATTTCCAAGCAGAATTCTTTTGTAGTATATTTAGTCAGGCTATTTGACTTTTTTCCCCATGACAACTAATGTTTCTTGTATGTGTACATTTAATCAATCACTGATGATTTCATGAATATTATTTTAGTATGGTCTGACTTGAGCAAAAGTATACATTAACTGTTTTTAACTTCAACTTAGACATTACAAATTTAGCACATAAAAAATAAATACATGTGAAACATTACATTGATATTTATAGAAAATGTCTTCAAATTTTTAATTGTAAATAATTTATACTAAAAGCACCTTCAGTGGACATGATCACAGTCCATAATGACATGTATACTGAAAGCATGAATTTTCTTATATTTAAACACAGTAAATTGATATGTTCTACACATATGTTAGATTAAGAGAAACTATCAGGTCAGAAAATTTTCAATAGACTACTATCATTTAATTATACATGTACTTAAAATGTGGATTCTGAGATTTGGCAATGGAAAGATTTAAAGTTATTTTTCTTGGACCTTTTTTTTTATTAAGATAACAAAATTTGAATTGTTTTTGTATTTAATTTATTTTGTTTTATGACCCAAGGGTGTGACAAGGAAAAGACTTGGTGTTCTCATTTCGATTGGGGATAAACTTACTTCTGAAAAAAACCCAGCGGGGGGTAATTTGTACCGTTCGGACAGTTCTAGTTTATTTTGTTTTATGACAGAAAAGATTGGGAGGTGCTGTTACAGGCCACGCTGGGACCTACGCACGTGCTTTATCACTCAGCATCCCACGGATCCCTACATCTTGCCATATTTTTACGCAGGGATCTTATCTGGTTTTGTTCAGGTAAAGCGGAATTTAATACTCAGGCCATCTCCTGAATGTGGAGAGTCATACTTCAAGACTTCATTCGGCTTCATGGAACATTGATCAACAATATTAATAGTTGTTGTATTCAGCAGTCTATTAAAAGAAGTTAGATACATATAGTATGATGGCATCATTTAAATTATCAGTTTTTGGGAGGTTTTGAAATTTTATGAACTTATTTCCTTTTTAGTACCGGATGATGAACAAATATCCACTAGGGCTGTTACAATGGTGAAAACTAAAGGAGCGGTAGCAATCTCATTTTATTTTTTTGGAACCTCATTTCTTTTTGTCAATTGTCATCTAACTTGTAAGTATTAATTCAGCTGTTAATGTAAGTCAGTATTTATCAAAACTCTCAAAAGAACATTACATTAGACACATTGAATGTTATGTTTATATAGATATAAGATTAAAAACACTTGTCTGGCTTTACCTCTTTATATATATTTTCTTAAATAAAAAGTCTTATGTAAGATCCCATTATTTTCAAAATTCTGGTTCCAAAACTACTTTTCTCTTTAAGAGGTAGAAAATTATAAGAAATTTTGACTGTAAAGATCACTTTATGTTACACAGCTGATGATGGTCGTCTCAAGGATAGGATAACAGATTATCATAAAATCAGTTCCAGTCTAAAGATGCCGAAATACTCTCATAAAGACCAGAAAAGTGTTCAAGGTAAACATGCATAGACCTATGTGTAGTTAACTGAAGTATAAGTTTCATTCAATTACCTATATAGTGCACTCAAGTACTTCAGTACTGTATTTTATTGATCTAAAATTGCCATAAAGAAAAGAAAAGGTTGTAAATGATGTCAAATGTCAAGCAGCTTGGTTAGGGAATCTGGAAAATTTTGAACTACATGTACATTAAAATGCTAGAGTACTTTACACTTGTGATAATTTTGTTTGATTAAGATTTCAATAATTTATACGGTACATGTAAAATGTACTGTGGAATCATCATTGTTTATGAGTAATTAGTGTTTATGGATATTCAAACAAATATTGATACACACAGCAGATTTATTTATTTTGCTAACATACACCTTACCTGTGTAATTATGCCCCCACAAATCAGTAAATTTTTGGTTATCCACAAACAATGGTGATTCCTCAGTATATTAAATTAGAATCATATGCACATATATTTATATTTAACCAGGTGATGCTCTCAATAAATATGACCATGTGTTTTGGTTTGGGGACCTTAATTTTCGGATAGACAAGGGACGTAATACTGTAGAGGACTTAGTTAAATCTATCGTTGAGCAGGAACATCCTAACTTTGAATTTCTACTAGAGGGGGATGAACTTAATGACTGTATAAATAAAGGTAAGTTCTTTGTTGGATTGGAATCAGGTCTGGTGAACGTTGTTTAATTAAGATTTACTTACAAATGATAGCAGAGAATATTTAACATATCTGGTGTAAAGCTGTTTTAATTTCTCAAAAATAATGCAAGGTTTCTGAGGTATGTAGATTGTTTTACTTGAATTTGATTACATATTTTGTGCATTGTTTGCAGATCAAGTTTTCCATGGATTCTTAGAGGGACGCATAAACTTTAAACCTACCTATAAATTTGATTTACATGTAGATGAAGATAGATATGATACATCTAGTAAGCTACGGATTCCATCCTACACAGTACGTACAGTTTCCATTGAGTAAATATATTTTGATTCATATTTGATATAAAGAAATCTGTTTTCAGTCTTAGTTGTTCGTGTTATTTGTGATTGTAGGATAGAATATTATTTAAACCTCGTAAGAAGAATTCCATAAGATGTCTCCATTATGATGCTGTTATGAACCTGAGATTATCAGACCATCGTCCAGTTTATGGTCTTTATGAAGCAATGATCAAACCTGGCAGAGACAAGTAAGTCACAAAAATGCTGAGTATAACATAAATGTCCATGATTTTCTTTAGAATGCATTTAAAAGTTTGACATTCATCAGTGACCCATACAATACAATTTTTAAAGAATATCTAGGTAAAATTTTAAAAAAGGAAATTATTATCAGGTTTAACTAGTCTAGAGTATTTAGTTCTCTTTGGTAAGAGTTTTAGAAAAATGCTACTGTGACTGAAACAATGAGATGAGAAAATCAAGATTTCTTTTTTACATGGCCTTAATGAATTGGAACTAAAAGGAACACTTTTCTTTTGCAGTATTCCAATGGCAGCTGGTCACTTTGACAGAGATGTTTATTTGGAGGCTAACAAGAAGTGGGACATAAATTTAGAACATAAAGCCAAAAACCAGAAAAACAGTACAGTGTGTGCCATACAATGAGAAAATGTAGAAAGGGAGATAACCCAATTTTAAAACTCAAATAAATAAGACTCAAGAGCAGACTGCATTGGAAAGAAGACTGGATGCCTGATAAAAAGATTTGTAGTTGGTTCAGCTAGAAGGCAGCTTCTCTTGATTCCTGTTAGGACCAAGCTGAAGGAAATGTTGAACAGGAAATGTCTGTGTCAAGGAAGAGGTTAATATCACCCCAAAAAATACAACCTGAAAGTTTGTTTATCAAAATCTTTAGGGCATGAAATAATCTTTAAATTTTTACATCAGTGTGTATTACAGAGATTGGTGAGAGTTTCTTTTTGAAAACTTCAGGTATTAAATTTTTCGAGATACAGTGGATGTATAAAATGGCATTTTAGTAGAAAAAATAACAAAATGTCAATAAGAATGCAATGTTTTCTACAAGTAGAAGCTATTAAGAATGCAATTTTTGTTACAAGCATTAATATTTGTTGAATTAGTATTACAAGTACAAATGCAAATCCATGTGCAATACACATGTTTGTATTTGATTATTGCATATAAAAATGTCCTGCCATTTATATGGATACCAAAAAGTTTAAAAAAGAGAAATCGAATACAATGTACAATGTACATATATTTTCAAATAAATTAATTGGGGTTCTTAATAACAGAATTGTAATTTTAATGAAGTGTGATTTCAACGTTTTAAAGCTTTTAGCTAATTTTTGTCTCGCCTGCGACGAATGTCGCGAAGCGAGACATAGCGACCATAGATTCCGTCGTCGTCGTCGTCGTCGTCGGCGTCCAACTTTTGGTTAACCCAAATGTCAAAGTTTTATAAACTGCAATAACTTTCTCAAATTTTATTCAGTCTTCTTGAAATTTGTACAAAATATTCAGTATGGATAAAAATTTATATCCCAAGTATGATTTTGAAAAAAAAAATTCAAATTTTTCCGTATTTTTTCCTTAAGTTGGACTTAGTTTTTTCATGATAATTTATGGTGAAGACCTATATTCCAGCAACTATAAGTTATAGGGATATGATAATTTCAGTGGATACATCATGGGTAACCACAAACGTCAGTACCAGAATTAGGTCATCTTGACCTACATTTTTCTGCATGAGTGACTTTGGTTAAATTTTTGGTGGAATATGCATCTATAACTTATAATGGCATGATGATTTGTCATTGTACAGGTTATAAGTAACCAACAACATGTACCAGAATTAGGTCATTTTGACCTACATATGAAACTTTGGTTAAATTGATAATGGAGGTTCATATTTCAGCAACTATAACTTATAGTGGCATGATAGTTAGTCAGTGGATACATCATGGGTAACCACAAACGCCTGTACCAGAATTAGGTCATCTTGACCTACATTTTTCCGCATGAGTGACTTTGCATAAATTTATGGTGGAGGTCCATATCTCAGCAACTTAACTTATAATGATAATTTGTCAGTGGATACATCATGGGTAACCACAAACGCCTGTACCAGAATTAGGTCATCTTGACCTACATTTTTCCGCATGAGTGACTTTGCATAAATTTATGGTGGAGGTCCATATCTCAGCAACTATAACTTATAGTGGCATGATAATTTGTCAGTCTACACATCATGGGTAACCAACAATATCAGTACCATAATTAGGTAATCTTCACCTACATTTTCTGCATGAATGACTTGATACATATACAGTGGATTTGATTTCAAAATGCAAGTTCAAATTATTGCGACTCATAACACGTTGCAATATTCGCAATAATAAAAACATCACAATAATTTGTGAATTTACAGGGTATATGTATATATATATAAATGCCAATATAATCGCCAAGGGATTAGATATTAAGTCAGCTGTTCCATTTCTTTATTATTGTATTTTTGAGTTATTCCTTCTGAAATGTCAATAAATGCTTCAGTTTATCAGACAATCATTTCTTACTAACCACAGCGACAGCAGGCGAGACACAGGGTTGCGGGCAACCCTTACGTACTTTTTAGTTAGAGTGATTGCTGTGCACATGAGGCAATTGCTATATAAATAAAACTGTTATGGTATTTGTACATTGTTCATATTCTACCCACGTAGGTAGATTTAAAAGTATGTAGGGCAAGAAAATGATTATTTTAGAACTAGTCAAACATTTAGTCATTGACATGATCATCATCATTATTTATAAGGGTCTGACATATGCATTTCCTTTTTAAGAATTAATACTATGTCTAATAGTTGGCTAGAATACATTCTATATCATGTGTATTGTTTGGGATGAATAAAACATGGTGTTTTATTATTTTTAGTTTGTGCTTCCACATAGTAGAATCATATGGGAAAACATTTTGCTCTGAAATTAAGCTACCATAAAAACAATCATGGCTATGATTTTATTTTTTATATGTTAAAAAAAATACCTGTTGCAGTGTTTTCCCTTTATTTCAAAGTAAAGGGTTAGAGATCAGTTGTAACAGACTAGGGGCAGAGGTTTAAAAAAATGGACCTTACAGCAAATTTTTATTTCAAAGCGGCATTTTTGTCAATTGAAGTGGTCAATTTTGCCGGTAGCCGGTTCTTAGGGAAAACACTGATGTTGTTCAGCTCACCTGTACAAAAACACAGAAGTGAGCTTTTCTGATCAAAATTTATACATGTATATTGTCTGTCAGCTTTAATATTCTCCAGAACAACTCTGTCAATAAAAAAAAAAACTAAGCACAGAGTATGTTTGGGTAAAGGTAATCAAAGTTTATTCAAGGGAAGACCATTCAATCTCTCAAGGGGAGATAATTGAGGAAAAAAGACAACAATGAATACCTATTTTGTATTGTCAAAGCATGTCTTGAAAGGTTTTGATGGAAACACAAAATTGGGGTAAACATTTTCATATGAATAAATTGAATATAGAAAGGGGGAGGGGGATTTTGAGGACTAAGTGACAGTGACTAAGATGAGCGTTGTGGTCCTGTGTGTCTTTTGTTAAAAATGATACATTTTATTCTTAATGATCACAGAATTTTATTTTTATGTAAAATTGAACAAATCTAGCGAGAGTGAAAGGTAGATGATTTATGTTTTATATTGTGTAGAGTGCTATTTTAAAAGAATGCAGCTTAGTGCCAAATATTTAAGTTTATTGTAGATTTCACTTAGATACAGCAATTGTATGTTGTTTAATTGGTCTGGAAAAGAAAAAGTTTTATTTTTCTTCTTTTATTTTTTTTGTCCGTCCATAGTCTGTGTATTTTTAAAGAAGGAAACTTCTGTATCTTACTATTTATACATGTATTTTGTATAACAAATTACACTATCCTCTTTTGTTTTTGCATAAATCTTGTGTATTTACATTGTCTCAATCAATGTGTTTTTGGAAAGAGATAATTTTTTCCAGATTTAAATAGGAATTATTGAATCTTTGTCCCTTTGTAGCATATGTAATGAATAGGAACTGTTGTTTATATTAAGATTTTTATGCTAGCTAAAAGACCCTTCATAAGTATGTAACGCAACATATACAGTGTAGATATTGAGATAATACTGGGAGATTTTAATGCATTTTGCACAAGCTTCTTCTGTTCCCATCTGCTTCAACAGACAAACAGAAAAATGATAAAAATTATACATGCAAAATCCAAAATTTAATGATAATGATAATGGATCTGTAGACCACACACTACTGCATTTATCAATTTAATTGACTTGTTGAAATTGGAAATTGTTATTAAAAGTTTTTAGGAAATTAAAAAGTTATTTCCCCTTTCAAACATTGCAGCCAATAAACTTAGTTTGTAATTAAATACACTACATTTTCATGTTAATACAATAATGTAGGGGAAAAAACTTTGATTCATTTGTTTGAACTAACATTATTTAAAGTTGAAAACATTAGATTGAATTAACATATTAAGAGAAGTAAACAAAAGAGTAAAAATCAGTTGATGCCATTATTTTGTTATCAACTGACATGAAAAAAGAGAGTTAAACAAACTGCCATAAGCATTGAATTTTCAAATTTTTGGCCTGAAAATTTATGATGATTTTTTTTGCTAATTGTACATATGAAAGTTAAACATACAATAATGCTTTGAAATATACTTTGAAACAAAAACTGGGTAGATTGAACTAATGCATGTATTTAACTTTGAAATTATCTCTAACTTAGTGGTGGTTATGTTAATAATATGTTTTTATATTCTGTCATTTGATTATTGTTCTGTAATTAAGCCTATGAATTTTTCACACAGTAATGTAATACTATTTATGTATACTTGTTATCAGCTGTTTTTATAAATAGGATGAAGAGGGCTTGACTAAAGTCATGTTTTTGTACTCTGTACATGTTTGTTTCAAAGTTAACAAAGCTAATAAAATACAGTAAAAGTCTTTTCAAATTTCAATCAGTGTGTAAATTTCCAGAGAGAGAGAGAGAAAGAGAGAGAGATTTAATAAAACTGAATCGACTTACTAGTATACTTTAGTTTTTAAAAAAAAATATTTTCAGTGGACTTGTTTTCAAAACAAGATGTTCTTTGATGTAAATGCTTGAATGTACATGTATGATCCTTGCCCAGGGAAAAACAACAAAGAAATGGTTTTGTCCTGTTAAATGCATGTAATTGTCTTTCAATTTAAAGGTCAGCATTTAACTTGGTACTTTCTGTCCTTAGAGTATATTTGAAATAATTGTGCTGGAACTCCTCAAAATTATTGTGAATATTACAATATCTAGAGATAATTTTATGTACACCGTACACATACTTTTGAAATTCTAGGCAAATAAGCATTATGCTGGCACTAAAAATCATAAATGTTCACACATTCAGAATATTGATTCTCCAAGATATAGATTTGAAAATACCTTCAAGTAACATATCTAGTAATGAAAAATAAATTTGATGTAATATTTGAATATTCTTTACACTTACAAATATAGGAAAAGATTGTCTCTTCAGCAACAGAATTAGGAGACCAAGAAATCAGGTGATTGGAGACAAAAGGTAACATACAATGTATGTATAAAAATAAACTACTAGTATAGCTTAAATGCATTTAAGGATAAACAACACAAACTGTTTTCCGAAATTAGCAATATTTCCCATATATTTTTATATATTTTTAATATTTAATTGAAGATTTTAAGGTTTTATTAAGTTGTGTAAATATTTAAAGAAAGCACCACAAAGTCTCATATCTAAGTACCAAAGAAAACTAACAATTATCTTTATATTTTAGCGATTTATAATCTATGTCATTTCAAATCAAAACTAGTCAAAATATATATCAATCTATTCATCAAATTTTCGTTTGTAAAAAATACCCTTAAACTAAACAAATTTGATATTTTGCACACGTGCCGAAAAACCCGTTTCAAATAAATTGATGCCCCCCTTGTACAGCTGTTGTTACATGTATTAATTTATTACGAAAACATTGTAGATATATATCTATATAATGGGAGGGTTAATTTGTTGACCCGTGAAAACTGTCAACATGTCCTGTTATACAATATCTCGTCAACCTATTACCTAAGGATATCGTCTTGAGAATTTTGCAAACGTCTCTTCATCTCTTTTGCACACGGCATCTAACCATCTTTAGTATAATAGGCACCAATCTCGGTTGTCCAATTCAAACTTTGAAAATCCTGGTAATCTGGATCAGTTCGAAGACATTCTTCATATCAGAAAGTAAGTAGGAATTGTTTTTATCCTAT